ACTTCCTCTAAAATCCTTGTTGGGTCAAAAACTCCAGCTTCTGAGGGTGGGCTGGGTCACATATCTCATTGGGCAGCGACTGCTGTCAATCCCCTGCTTCAAATTCTCCCATGATCCCAGGACCCAAGGAGACCAGTGTGGCCCTGTCCAGCCACTCCCATCCCGGAGTGTAAGTGCGCCTTCACTTCTGTCCCTCTTAATCAATCTCCTCCTCTTCCTTCTGAGTGTCCTGCTCACTTTCTGGGGTCCCCGAGACCCCCATCCGATGACAGCCCAGCGGCTGGAGCGCGGGGAGAGGGAGCTGGAGGCGGTGGGGTGTGGTGCACGGCAGCCTCCAGGCGGTAAGCGCCCCGGCTTTCCACGTCCCTGCACAAAGCCATTGCGTGTGTGTCGCGGGACGGGGTGGCTAACGCGGCAGCGGTGGAGGGTCTTGGGGAATGGGTTCATAGACACATCACAGCATGACAGCTCGATCATCTCCTCTCCCCTTTCCTCCCGACCCTTCCTACCTCCAGAGACAGACGCCTTCCCTGCTTGCTACCGTCTTAGACAAGAAACCCAAAATGTGATTTTGGGTGGGTACCGGGAACCAAACTTACGCCCGACCTCACACTTGCCTGGCAAGCTCTTGTGCTGCTGAGTTACATCCCCAGCCCCCAAATTTTAAAATAAAAAAATACATTAGAGAGATGGCCGAGTCTGCTTTGGTGGGGACCAACAGGCTGCACACGGGGGTCAAGGGACTGAGTGTGGCCGGTTGGTCTCACCGCACAGGCCGTGCTGACCAAGAGCCAGCAGCAGCTCCCAGGGTGGAAGAGGGGTGCACATCGGGCTGTGCCCCTCCACATGATGTTTCCCTGCATTCTGCTCACCATCGCACCCACCGCTTACCTGAGAGCTGCTTTAAGTTTGGTTCACTCAAAAAGTAAAACTCCAGCGTGTTTACTGAACCACTTTGCAGTCCAGTGACTTAAATATGGAATGACCAAAAATTGCATATTTTGCATCAGTTTTTATAAGATAACAGAAAACGTAAAAATGAAGATTTTTAATTAAATTTATTCAATAATTTTTCAGTGCATGGTAGCTCTTAAAATAGTCAATACACAGTGCAGGATTACAACCTGGACCATAGTGTCCAGTTTCTTTTTGAATTCCTTTTGCATTGTCTTTCTGTGAACCCACACGGGGCGGTCGCACTGGCCTGCCCTTTTTGTCTGTGGGTGACCTAACTTCAGCGAAGGGTCTCCCCACTAAACAATGGTCAAGACATCGATGATGAACAGCCTGCCTGGCGTTTCACTGTGGCAACTTCTCCACTGCTTGGTCTGTTAGACCTGATCTAAACTGTAAATGACTTTTTGAATAAATAAGTAGATAAATAAGTTATTTGGTCCAGAAAGTACATAAATATTTTATAATGTTTTTTCCTCACTTTCTGATTTCAGAGGAGCTTGTTTGATGTTGGTCAACTCTGTCAGCACTCCCACAGAATTATCATAATCACTGACTAAAAATACTGGAATTCTTTTAGCTTCATTTCTGTCTTATGAATTGCTGACAGCACGGGGGCATGTTTTTGTCTCTCCGTTTCATAACACAGACTTTTCCTCTCTGATACGCTCACATTTCCCCTTTCTCAGTTTTATCTTCTGCAGATCTTTTGGCATTTCCTTCCTATTTTTCTCAGGACCCCAAACATGTCCGTTTTGTGTTGTAAGAGAACGAGGCTCTGGAGAAGTACAAAACTGTATCTAATGAACTGATAAGAGTTTTTGTCGAGTGTAGCACAACATTTTATAGGGTTTTTCTTTTGTGTGTTTTGCTTTTGGTACTGGGAATTGAACTCAGGACCTTGTACTTGCCAGGCAAGAGCTGTACCACTGAGCTGTATCTCCAACCCTATTTTTCACAAAATAAACATGAATTAGTAAAAGAAGAATCCAGAAGTTAGTATTAGATTTCACTAGAAACAAACATCAAAGGCAGACACAACATTTTAAGTGAAAAAGTATGTAAAAAAATAGTCAATATAAAACAGATACACAGGTGTATCTCGTGCAAATGGAGAATCAACTGGTCGAAATGACGCCTGCCCAGGAACATGGGGACAGTCACTATGGAAACAAACTTGCTGCCTAGCAACCCTCAGGGGAAACTGTTAAGTGGTTAAAAGGAAAGCTTAACACACCACTACCATTAGCCACGGGATGATAAAAATGAAAAACCCAATGAAACTAGACGGTGCAATTAGATTAAAGTAAAAGATAAATACCCCACAAAAAGCTGAAAATTAAATTCCCAAAGAGAAGAACAACACTTTTGACTGCTGCGTATGCAGTAAGGCCCACAGTCATTTCTAGGTTAATAATCTTTAACTTTATACTTGAAAAACCTCATTTCATTTGCTTACCTGTGTGTCAATAGGAAAAAAAGAGGTAGGAAGTAGGAGGGTAGGAGACCAACGTGGGCAATTTGGTAGGACCCTGAGTTTTGTTTTTGTTCTTGTTTCCCCTTCAAGACCAGGTGTGCTTATCTAGTTCAGGCTGACTTTGGGCCCACCAGGTGCCCAGGCTGGCCTCGAACTTGCAGCAATCCTTCTGTCTCAGCCTCCCTAGCCCTAAAATGGCTAGGAAGATGCCATTTTAAGATAAAATTAGAAAGTGCCAGGAATATAGCTCAGGGCTTTCTGTTCAATCTCCAGTATCGAGAGAGAGAGAGAGAGAGAGAGAGAGAGAGAGAGAGAGAGAGAGAGAGAGAGACGAGAAAGAGAAAGGGAGACAGGGGGTGGCAGAGAAGCTCCCAGCCCATTCGTGTGCAGAGGGACTGTAGGTCTGGTCCCTAATGAACCCCACTACAGCATGGAGGTCTGGAAGGGCTGAGCGGATCCTTTCTTCTTTCTCTTTTTGCTAACTTACTATTTCCTCTGTTGCCAATATTCAAATAGGTAAGCATTCCTAAAGCAGCATTGATAACAACAATAATACCCTAAAACGACCAGCTTAATCTGTTTTACCTTAGTTATTTTTCTGAAACCTGGAAATCAAGAGCCTGGGCATTCATCCTCTAGCAGCACTAAAAATATCTACTACATCAAAAATACTCTGTTGAGCCAGGTGTGGTGGTGCACACCTCTACGTCTAACCCCAGCACTCTCAAGGCTGAGGCAGGAGGATTACCATCCGTTCAAGGCCAGCCTAGGTTATATAGTGAGACCCTGCTTTAGAAAAACAAAACAAAACAAACAAACACTGTTGATCGTTACTTAGTGAGAGTTTGGCTCACAGTTTTGTATTTTTAAAGCAGTTCAAGCTGCCACTGAACTCACCAGGTAGCCCACCCAGGCAGGCCTTGAATTCCCAGGAAACCCTCGTTTCCTGAGTGCTGGGATTTACAAGTGTGCACCTCCACACCTGGCCTTACTCTTTTTATTCAAACATTTATGGGGATCATTGTGGTTTCCCATGCTGCTATAAGAAATAACATAGAGATGTGAGCAGTGGTACCTGTCTGTAGCCGCAGTTACCGAAGGCTGAGGCAGGATTGTAAGGTTGTTTGCTTGTTTGTTTGAGCTGGGATCTTGCTATGTAGTACAGGCTGGCATTGAGTGCACTTTGTAGTCCAACCTGCCCTTGAACTCTAGGTGATCCTCCTGTCTCAGCCTCCCAAGTGTTGGGATTACAGACATGTGCTACCATACTTGGCTGGACTGCCAAATTTGAGCCCCATTTGGGAAATTTAGTAAAAACTCTGTTTCAAAAAAAGGGTTAAGGATATAGCTCAGTGTGAAAGTTTTGGACTCAATCCATAGGATAGCAAAATTAAAGTAAAATAAAATAATTTTTTTTTTTTTTTTTTTGAGACAGGGTCTTGCTATGCTGTTCAGGCTGGCCTTGAACTCACTTTGTAGCCCAGGTAGCCTCAAACTCACAGCAACCCTACCTCAGCCTTTCAAGTGCTTTGATTACAGGTGTGCGCCACCATACCTGGCCTAAATAAAATAAATTTTAAACATGAATGATCAAAACATATTGTTGCCCAATGAAATGACACTGTATGGGTGGAGCAGCGCCCAGGCACTTTGTATTAAAAGCTCTGACAGGGTCCATGCAGGGAGCCTTAGCCTTAGACCCCATCTAGCTGCTGGTCTTCTACGGCCTCCTGTTCCCTGTCCCATTTATGGACCCCTCTAGGCCTCTGCCTGGCTGCTGCCGAGTCCATGTGCGTGGCATTCACACTGCACAGGGCGCAGCAAGGGCAGGCGAAGGTGCGCAGGCCCCCTTCTCCCAGGCTTGCTTCTGCACAACCTGAGGGTCTCGGGGGTTAAAGTCCTCAGCTGGCTTCAGGCAGGAAGTCTGTGTGGTGAGACCTTTAACCTCCGAGCACTTTCTATCTTCCCTTTAACTTTGCCAGTTTCTATGCAGAACTAAGTATTCATTCAGTGTGTATTTGAGTTTCTCTTACAGTGCTTTTGTGGCCAGGGGTACTGATCTTCTGTGTAAGGTAGTAACATTGTTTCCTTTGTAAGGAAGTTAAGAATTTTTTTTTTTGGGTCTTTTTCGTTTTTATTGGTATCAGGGATCGAACTCACGACTGCCTGCTTACAAGGCAGGGGCTTATGCCGCTGAGCTAAATCCCCAGCCCCGGAAGTTAAGAATTTGAATTTTTAAAACGTAACACCAGTTATGATCAGGCAGCTGGTGGTAGGCAGGGTAGCGCCCTATTTGAAAAGGGAGTTTGGAGGTGGGGGGACGGTGAGGATCTCGGTGAAAAGGCCCTGGGTTCTATTTCCAGTGCAAAAAATAAAAGCACAAAAACAAACCAGAAAACTCCAAAGACAGAGAGAGGTGGGACTGTTTTACGAAGGTCTGTGAACTGGATGCAGATCTGCAGGCTGCTTTGGTGCCGTTTGGTGGCGGCTCGCCATGGTTCCCTCCCCAGGTTGCACCAGGGCCTGCTCTGCAGCAGCGGGAGAGCTCCTCTAGGCCGCTTCCCTAGTGGCTCTGATCAGGAGACAGGACCTCGGTGTGCTGGGCGCCGTGGGCTGGGATAGGGCCTGTAAACTTGAGGCCAGCTCAGCCAGTGGGGAAGATGCTCTCCCGCCCCTCTGCACAGTAACTCACTGTCACCTGGATCTTACCCAGTGACAACTGTGGGCACTGGCTGCCCCCTGCCGTGGGGCGGTTCACCTTTCTCAAGTATCAAGGACTTTTTGAAGAAAAGCAATTTACCTTCTTGAAACAGTATTTTTAGATAAGCTTTGATGGGAGCTTAAAATTCTGCCCCTAGATCCCAAGGGGCTCCATGTCTCCCACCCTCTAAGGGGAAGCGGGGCCGGGGGAGGGACGACGATGACTTTTAGACACATGACACTGGGTTTTCCTGGCCCAGGCTGGTGTGCTCTGAACATTTTGTGACAAATTACATGAAGCACTTGGTACCCGGAGACTAATTCACACACCTCACTGCTATTTTCTATTCTTGGACCCAGCAAGGTCAAAGGCCTGAGCTCCCTGAGGAGCTTTCAAGGCTCACTTATAATCTAATTCTGGCTCTTGTCAGTACTGGACTCCACCTCTCATGTCTAAAATCTAAGCATGAGCAGGAAATGATCTACCTGGGAGAGGAGGGAAAACCAGCCAAGTCCAAACGCCCAGAAAGGATTTCCTCACTGAATGCCACGCCTTGCTCAGCACCTGTCCTCCCTCCATCTCTTCCTTTTGTCTCAAGCCACGTCTTCACACTGGTTAGCCCGAGTTTGCCAAGGACCTCGTCAACCTCACTCCCTACTTCGTCCTCCTGCACATGGTCAGTGTGGCACCACCATGGCCTGCGATCCTCAGATGTCAACAGCTATCCCTCGCGCAGCATTCATTCAGCAATGACCTTATGTGACACACTGGAATGCAGGATGAGTTACAGCTCACTCAGCATCTGGAGATGCAGTTACCCTGGATCCTGAAGGTAAGTCAGGTGGATTCAGGCTGGCCCTCGGGGAAGAGGAGCTTAAGATGAGCTTAGGAGCGAGGGGCGGGCCAGGGAGCAGAGCAGCAAGGTTTATGTGGAAATGCCCGCATGGCCTGGGGCAAGGTGCACACAGACTCCTGCAGGGTGAGGGAGCCAGGAGAGCGGCTGTCTGTGGGAGGTGATGACCTAGACTAACATGCCAGAAGTTGGGACAAACTCAGAAACAGCCAGAGAGACAGTTGCTTAGGGAATGGAGCTGTTCTTATGGAGACACCAGGCAAAAATCAAAAGCTCTTCAAATTTTTTTAAAATCAAACACTTTATTTCCACATAACAAGCGCAAAAACCTCTCAAACACTTTAACAATACAATTAACGCAGTTATGAAGTCATTATATACTACTCAAAGCCCCAAAGGTCATCAGCTTAACGTTAGGTCCAAACATCTCCAGACGTGGTTTTTCAAAGCTACCTTTGGTTTTTGGAAAAACCAGTATGGAAGTCAATATACACTGAATGCATTGAACAACATCTGTTTATATTAAGGTGTCCAACAACATTAGCTTACACCTTGCAAGCCAGAGCATGGTTTGAAGTCATACACTGAAATACATACACAGGTTTTGCCCCCGAGCCCCTGCAGGAGGAGCGCAGGCATGAGGGGAAGAAAAGGCCAGTCCAGGCTGTGGCATTTCCCATTGTGTAACAGAGGTATGAGAGTTTAACACTAGTACACTGTCAAGTCATTAAGCTTCATGTCCAAACGGTCTCTTGCTGAGGCTTGAGATGGGCACAAATGGTGGGGAAGATGAAGTCACAGAGTTTTTGAGCAACAAGATCCCAAAGATGCTCAAAGAGGGTAGGAAGGAGCAAGCTACAGTTTCCCATTGTTCTCACATTATTTCAGGGTGAAATTGCGGATGAGTTCAGGTAAAATGTTCAAATATTTGCTTAGATTTTTAATCAGTTGCTCTATGAGAACCCTCATACATAGCAACTTAGAAACTTTTATTATAAAAAGAGCCTACAAATAAATTCACAAAAAAGAGACAATTAATGTTGAGCAGCCAAAAAGTCATGGTTTATTATATCTGAAGAAAATTTCATAATTCAAACACAACCAAACTGTACATTTTACAATCACATTCTATTTGTAAACAGTTAAAAGCCACTGACTTCTTTTGCATCTTAGGACACAAACAGTTAGAATCAAGGCAATGAAATGATGGCAAATTCTGTACTGTTAAAAGTTTTACCCTTGTTTAGTCTCTCTTCTTTGACTAAGCAAGCATTATAATACCATTTGTGGGCAACAAAAGGGGGGAGGAAAGAAATTTAAAAATGGTGTAACTCGTTAGTTTGCAACAACATTTAAAATTTTCTTTATACAACAAACAACTCTGTAAGCCCAATACCTTGGTTACAGTATGCATAGTTACTGATTTCGGCTTTAAGGTACAACAGTTAAACATTAACACAGTCACAAGAGAGCAGAAACATAGAGCCACTTGATGGGATTACAAAAAATCATTACCTATTGATTATTAGCAAACCATCATTACTCACTAATAAAAAGACAGCATCTGAAAGCAGAATGTCAAACTCCAGCTTTAAGCATTTTTTTTCTTTTTTCTTTTTTTTTTGTGGCAGAGAAAATTCTTTAACAGAGCAATATGTAGTATCAGTGCTAAAAGTTGGGGGTTTTCTTCTTTTCCTATAAGAAACTACAAGGAGATTTTTTTTTTTTTTTTTTTTTTTTTTAAACTGGGGAACTGGTTTTCCTGAGAACCATGCTCTTTGATTTAGGACAGGAATAGAAAAACAAAAGAACATGGCCAAATGCTGCTCCTTTTTTCCCAGAGATAGAAAGCATCTTTTAAATCATCCTCCATTTTTTTTGTCTTTTAAATTTTTTTTAAATGATGGAAGAGTAAACATTTTTTTTCTCAAAAAACAAACAAAAAAATCTGTAAACAAGAAGGTTCAACATGGGAACCTTCAAAACAAAATGGAAAGCCTATTCAAAGTGCAGGGCCCGCCCTGGGTGGCAGGTGGGCTGCAAGTCACAGCTGTGGCCACAGTTTTTCAAACTGCAGAGCGAAATTCTTTAGTTTTACAACATGAAAAAACTGGTGCAATACTTTCATTAATAATCCTAAGTCAGTATCATCACTTGATCTTTTAAACTCCACGATACCACAATAAAGGTAGGCAACATCAAGGCATAGTAGAGAGCGCACACCTTTAAGAACATCCTTGAGTAAACATTTACACTGGAACAGCTGCCCCCCCATATTGCCGATTAGACGGAGAGAACATCATTCAGTGCAAAGGTAAAAGCTCATACATTATCAGCCCAAAATTCGGTTTTGCAAAAAAAAAAAAAGAAAGAAAGAAAGAAAAGTAGGAAAGAAAAAGAAAAGGGAGAGGGGGTATAAGAAAGAAAGAATGAATCCAAAGGCTAAACATGATGAATATACACAAGTGAGCTCACTCTACGGTTTAGCATGTATGGCGCCGTTTGGGAGTGTAAATAGATACCTTTTCACATTATAATATTGGCCTGCATGATTCAAGTATTCAAACTGATATGTTTTGGGGAAAACAAAGTGGAAAATGTGCAGAGAAGAGCTGTTCCCACAGGTGGCCCCTGGCTGCAGGCGGCGAGCCCAACTTAGTGCTCCTTTCTTTCGCGTCTTGAGGTCACAGTTTGTGAGTCTACATCTACACCATTACATGGACTCTCCACCCCCACCCAGGTGGTCAACAGAAAGAAAAGCATTAATGGGGGATGGGCTGCTAATTCCCCGGGGGTCACTGCTGCTTGGAGGACCCCACAGGCTTGTGGAATAATGTGGGGTCCCCCAGAGGGAAGTGCCGTGAAGGTCTCCACAGTTAGTTCCCGACAGCCCAGCACCATTCCAGTGATTGAGATCGGTCCGGCTGGAGAACGAATGGGAACAGTCAAGGGAGCCCAGCCGGCTCTGGCTGGACCCGAGAGACTGCCAGCCAGGAGAAGGGGTCAGGGACTGACTTTGTGCAAAGAAACGACTGATCTCCTCTTCACTGGCAAACTCAGCAAGAATAGTAGTGTTCCCCAGTACACACCTAGGGTAGAAGGTACATCAGTGTCAGAGGGCCAGCCACACTAGATGACTTTGCCAATGCAAAAGCAGGGTGAAGCTGGTCTCTGCCAAAAAGCTAGGGGAAGAGTAAGCACAGGAATTCCAGAGGCTGAGGACACCCACAGCCATGCTGGAGCCTGAGCCATGAGTGGGGGCACCACCGTGAGGTCAAGATCAGGTCTTTCCTATGGCAATGCCAGGGATTTTACCCACACCCCTGACCCAGGGAAACTGAGGGGCAGACAGCAGGATGTGCTAGGGGCAGCTGCAACTCCCACACCTCCCGACTCCCCCTACCAGGAGCCTGCAGACCACTTACATGTGCAGAGACTTTTGTGCCTTCACTACCTCTTCTTTTGAACTGTAACGGACCAGAGCATTTCCATGTGGGAGGTTCAGGTGGAATGTTATCAGCGGGCCATGCTGCATGCACAGGGTACGCAGAGTTGAGCCATCAATCTGCAAAGGGTGGGAACTGGAATGAGAGGTGTCCTAGGCCAGCAGGGAGGTAGTCCCCACTGTACCTGGTCTTCCTTGCACGTAGGGCACAGTGCCCTTCCCTACCTCCACTGGTCCCAGAGTCATACCTCTGTGGCCTTTAGGCTCCTGGACACTCCCCAGATGCCCAGTTCCTCAGTGAGCCACTGCTTCCTGGGGAAGGGGGAGGAGGGGATGGCCCAGAGGTTAAGAAATTGTCTGAACATAAAAGGCCAGGCCAGGGTTTCTCAAAGTGCAGTCCAAGGACCATCTGCATCAATTCATGCAAACATCTCATAAAAATGCAGACCTCAGTAGCTCAGCCCAGACCCAGTGAATCAGTGTCTAGGGTAAAATTTACGACCGCGTCTTTGGTTGGCTCTTTAACACGGTATACAGTAATAACCACCAGAAGGGAAAGAGGCATCTGAAGCCAGTCCTCTGCTCAGCCTTGGGCATGTGCAGCCCTCTTCCAAACAAGACTGGAAACCTTGGTTCCACATCCAAACACACTAGGGTGTCAGTCATCCTTACCTGAGGTGTAAGGTTTTTCAGAACAAGACAATTTGTTATTCTCCCTGAGCTGCTCTCACCCCAGCTGGAACCTAAACAAAAGAAAACAACAAGTGTGTTTCATCACCATGACCCAAATGACTATCCAGAACACAGCCCAGCCCCTCCACAGACCATGTGGAATCTCAGCTTCCTTTTCTTCCTCCCTCTTTAACAGAGACACTCTCTCCTAGGCCCAGAAGGCCAGCTCGCTCCAGCCCCGACCAGCCACTGATTCCAGCACAGGCGGCTCCGGCCCCAAGGAGTGGGGCTCAGACCGTTCCCTGCTCAGCTCCGGCAGTGACTCACAAGCCCACACACCCTTGGGATCTTGTCATTTACACAGCTCCAACTATCTCAAGATGGTGTCAGCTGGGAGGTGACTGGGGTAGCCTCTGATACTGCACACATGGCCCTCAGGGTGGAAGGCCTTAAGGGCATTCAAGAGCTAGCACCACTCACTTGTGTCCCTTCTGTCTGGGAGGCTCTAAGTTTCCAGTCAGGACTTCCTGGCTGGCCGCACAGCAATCACTCTGTCTCAAACCAAGGCGCTTCACGATCAAGTCAAATCCCCTCTCCACTTTCTTTGTTGAGGCAGGGTCTCACTGTGTAGTTTAGACTAGTGCTGAACTCACTATGTAGCCCAGGCCGGCCTCATACTTGCGGTAATCCTCCTGCCCCAGCTTTCTAAGTGCTGGGGTCACAGGCATGCACCAGCACACCTGGCCCCTCTCTACACCTTCTTAAAGGCACCCCACAAACGCTTTGGTATAGCAGAAAAAGACTGTTCCCTGGTGTACTAAAGTCTGTTCCCTTGGCTCTGCCGGCTTCCCCAATCCTCAGTCAACTCCTAACAGTGAGCTGCCAAGCTGTGTCAGGTCTCTGAGCCTTGCCGCTGGCTGCTCCCTCTGCTCATCAGTCTTGTGTTTCCTAACCCCATTCCTGCCCACCAACCCCTCCTGAGGCAGCTGTTACCCTCTCTTTCACATGATGCCTTTACATTAATTTGCACTTAATAGGTTGGAGTAGCCCTGGTATCCCCATGCTGCAAATGTAATTGCAGCCAATCACTTGTCTGAAGATTAAAACTTCAGAACAGAAATTTTTTGTTTTCTTTTTTCCTGGCTTGGTTTTGTCTTGTCTGCTTTTTAAATATTAAAAACAAATTTTGGTTTTTTGGGGACAGGGTCTCACTTTCTAGTTGAACTCAAAGCAATCCTCCTGCCTCATCCTCCCTAATGTTGGGATTACAGGTGTGTACTACTACATCTGGCCCAAGACATTTTTTATTACATCAGAAAATATTTTTGGCTCTTTTTTTTTTTTCTTTTTCTGGGTACTGGGGATTGAACTCACGACCGCCTGCTTGCAAGGCGGGTTCTATGCCGCTGAGCTAAATCCCCAGCCCCTACATCAGAAAATATTAATGAAGTCTTATTACTCATTCACAGCATGGAGGTGAGAAAGTTTAGTAGTATTTTGGGGTAGGGTAGAATGAAAAATAAGACCGTATTTATAGGCAGAACTGGCAGATAGCTCTGAGGTAGATCTGTTGCTGTGTTTATATAGTTGAGGGACAGCAAGCAGGGTCACGGAGCCTGCACAAATCCAGTGCCAATCATTATAGAACAAGCAGAGGTTGGGGGACGTCTGTTCCCATTTCCCTGGGGTGGTCTGGTCCTTGCTGTTGGCTCTGGTTAACTGAGAGCACCCTCTTTTACTCTCAAATGTCTCTGTTCACCAGTAATTTTACGACCATCCCATTTCATGCACAGGTCAATCTCTCCCCCAAACAGGACCCATTCATTAAAGCCCACACAGGCTGCCCGAATCTTGCCAAGTAAGGGCTCATGTGACATGAACTTTCTTCCAGCCTGCCATGAGCAGGGCATTAACAACCATGTATGTTAAGATGTAGGGATGGGGAGATAGCTTAGTGGCAGAAGCGCCTGCCTGGAAAGCGCAAGGTCCTGAGTTTGACTTTCAGTAACCCTCCGTACTGCCCCCCCCCCCCCAAAAGATGTACTCTTCAACTCTGAAAAAAGGAGCACTCGGAATCATACAGTAAGTTCGCCTCATAGAGGCCGAGGAAACAGTTTACTGCTTAGGTCTCTGCTAAACTAACTGCTGGTACTGGTTACTATTCAGTAAATAAGCCATATACATCTTACGTATTCATCCTACCTGGGGTATATCTGGCGTCAGAATTTCCCCATCCTCCACCTACACGAAGGGGAGAATTATCCCATGTAGACAAAGGTGGCTTCTGACCAGTCAGTCCCGGAGGTGGGCGGGACGGAGCAGTGATGTTTTTAGGTGGCAAAGGGACCTTCCACAGCTCATGAGCCAGAGAGGTGTTTGTAACTGAACCAGGAGACCACGTCAATTTGGAATCACTATTTCTGGCTACTCCAAGGAAGGAAAGGAATGATTAAGAAAACAGAAATGTTACTTAATAACATCCACTGTCCCATGAAAAGCATACCAAACAAGAAATTCTCATCAACACATTGTATGTCAAACTGAACTGCTAAAGAAGAAATTCAGAAAGCCTGAAGGAAACTTCCCTTCATAACAACCACACCATCTGTTACTGACAGATCCAGTGAACAGAATGGCTCTGTGGTGGAAGACTGGCCTCAGTGGTTTCCAGAGTGTGACAGGAGTGCACAAGTTCAGGAAGTTGTGGCAGTGTGACCTGATCATTTCTGCAGCCAATTCGAAACTCATGTTTACTATATTTACAGAAATAAAGCTATGAAGGGCTGGGAATTACAAAATAAAAAGTACTTCTCTGAAGACAGCCTTAAGGACTGCTTGAGATGAAATTCTGTTTAACTTCCAGGCTGAGAGGACTCTCAGCTGAGGGCAAGTGGTGTGCAATGGAAGCTATTTTAGTGAATGACTGCTCGGTGCAGCAAATTTATACAGGAAAATTCCAGGGTCACACACAGTGTCCTCGCTCCCTAGAAAGATGGTGAGAGATGACAAGCCTGTCGTGTGCCCGCCACCCACAGCCCACCTGAAGTGCTTTGTGCTGTACTGCTGAGGGGAACGCTGTAGTTGGAGGCACGAATGGATGACCAGGCACTAGTTGAAGGCAGCGTGGTGTTCAAGGATGAGGATGACCCTGTACAAGAGAGACATGAAGTCAAAACACCCAAAGAGCTACAGCTTGACAGCACGGGACTGAGCGGAGGCAGGTACATGGGAGACAGGTGCACTGAGAGCCACTGGCCAGGAACTTCACCCGGCTCAGGACAGGCATTGCCCTCCCACTCACGGTGCTGAGACTGCCTGAGTCCCTCGTGGCACTGGGTTTTAACAGGAAGGCTTCTGGTGGCTGCGAACCTTGCCTTCGAACTCCAGTGACTTCTCACTGCTGCACCCGGGCACCGACAGACCCACCGCTGTCCTGCCAGGGAGCCGGGCCTGCCGCTTTCCCCAACATGCCCACCCTCAGGCTCCACATTCACGGTTCTTCCTACAGTAAAACTCTAGACCTATCACCAGATCTATCACCAGATCGCGGTCCCGGCCTGGTTTCCCAAGCCAGTCCATTCTGTTCACCACTGCCAGGTTTCCCATCCTGCAGCACTGCTGTGTGTACTCAAACTGTCAGCAGGGTATTTCCTTGCATATCCAATCTGATCTCCTGTCCTGGCTTCCAGCCCTGGTTTTCTAAGCCACAAGACTCTCCTAGCAAGTACCTCCCTGTGAAGTCTGCTGCTTGACTTTATCTCCCAGTATTTTCAATGGAAGTTCAGCTTTGAATCACTTCTGCTCAGAGGGCTGTGAGACTCACTTTAGGAGGAGGAAGACAACCTTGCTACCAACTGTAACGTGGCAAACACCTCTGCTCCCATGAATTTTATCTTTAAAATGGTAACTGTTTTTTCTTAAACTATGTAAAGAGATAGCTGGAAGCTTTTGACACATTAAAAATATTTTGTTATTTTTTGAAATTCTGTATTATTTCTACCCTTTTTTGTTTTGTTTTCTCTAAACAAAAATTTTTAAAAATATTTAATATGTCATTTCAATCACCTTTCTTCTAATGCAAAATCATGGACAGAATACTATAAATGCCTTCTAGTGAAAAATAATCACATGGTATATAACAGGTAATTTTATCTGCTAACCACTTGAAAGTTCATCATGATTGCAGTTGTCTGTAGGTAAAAAGGTCTTGTTTTCACTGAGAGCCAAAGAAAGCCTCATCTGCTTATTCAGAACACACAGAGTAAACCTGTGATAACCACACTACCTCTGGCTGCTCACAAATGACCGCACAGCAAATGTTCATTGGTCCTTTGTGGTTACTTACTAACTAAATTAAACCAAATGATACTAAATTTTCATTATTTTCAAAGCGGCCATCATCACTGAGGGGAAAACAGAATTGTTTTATGTTCACCAATCCTATGGGGGTTGGGTGCCATGAGGTGCTGAACACTTTACAGTCACATTGAGCTGCTGTTCTGAAACGCACTGCTGAGTGGCGCCCAGTGATTCAGGTCCCCTACGTACCACTGTTCCTGTCCCTGAGGTGGTCAACTTCCCGCACAGTATTAATTGAAAGATTGTTTATGACACTGCCAGGAGTGACGTAAGGGTCAGTTTCAGGGTCAATGTTTGGATAACCTTTCCATGGTTCACCAGGACGAAATTCTGGAAGTGGAAACTTAAAATTAGTTCAAAGTTTAATCATCACTTTAAAATCCATTATTACATATCCAAAACTTTTCTCACATATATCACAACTTTCACTGATACCCTACAAGACTGATTTGGTAACACAATGAGCACAAACTAAGCTGTTCTTTATGAATGTCTTGCAAGTTCTTACAGCTAAAACCATTTCCCTGAGTTTATTAGTCTTATACAGTAACACAATAAAGTGTTTTAAAAGTTAAGCAACTCAAGCAGAAAAAAGCAGACCATAGATGTACATCTGCTACTTCCTCAGTGTACCTAGAAATATGGTCAGCTGTCCGGTACATCAGGCCTTTTTATGAGATCCTTCATGCTGCTCAGTAGATGCTCATCTCATTTTCAGTACTGGCAGCAGAGAGGTGCTGAGTGTACAGACAAACCTGCTTGACTGCTATTATGGTAACTTTTCCTTCACCATTTTAGCAATCCTTTTCATCAGCCCAATCACACGGAATGGGGCTGTAACACTGGTAAATCTAGATGTAACAAAATTCAGTGAAAACAAAGGCTCATCAGAGGGCGGCCGCATCTTACCTGGTGGCCAATTAACACTGCTAGAGCCATTAGGCGATTTGGCACGTGGCCAGCCATCTCCTATTGAGCCTGGAGGACTGGCTGGTGAAGTACTGCTGTTCACAAAGTCATAGGGAACAAATGGAGATTCTTCCAGCCTAAAACCACTTGAAATAGCACCTGAAAAGACAGAGATGGTAGAGTAGTACCAGCAAAACACACTGTGACGTTTGTGTCCTATAGTATAGCCCATGATCTCTGAAAACTTTCTAGTAGATTTATGTAGGTGACAAACTGTCTTACAGCTTATGTACTGTATGATGTAAGAGGCCTGTGTGCTGTCTTGGAGACTTCATTTAACTCTTTCATATGAAGACTCTCACATTTTATTAGAAGAATAGCTAAAAATAATCACAGTGCATTTAACTTCAAGGACATGAAGACCACAGCTTGGTCAGTAACTGAGTAGAATATGAGCACACAATTATTTCCCAATCACTTGCATTTGGCCTAACGGTAAACTACCACATGCTAACTGACTGCACTGGGCATTTTGGCCTAATTGATTCATAGTTTTGGAGCAGGATAAGGAATAGAGACCGAGGGAAAAAATGTGACAGAACGGGTTATGGTCAGCAATACTGTGACAAAGAGGCTTTATCCAGGAAACTTAGGCATAAGATACAGTGAATGTGCAGTGAAAAGAAACCAACATCCTTTGCTATCAGGATGTTTATAATTCTACCTTATACCCCATAATATGGTACTAAAATGAGTGTGAAATTCCACAAAAACACAACCTTGCTTAGAAATGATAATTTGTTTCCTTGTACTTTATTGTCCATTTCCATCTTTGAACACAATATGAAATGACTATTTTGAATTTCTGAAAATCATTTGTGGCACAAAAGTTTCCCACAATTTGTTTTGTATCTACTATTCCTCCTCTACTCATTCCTTTCTCTGTTGGCATCTTCATCTCCAGAAATGGCCCATACAGATCTCACCAGGCTGTCCTCCTCTATTCTGCATGTGCTATGCTCTCTAGGCTGTCTTCTCTCCACTTATTTATTGGGTAAACTTACAAATTTATTTCAAGATGAGTCTCTTACAGTTTTCCAAGGGCCATCACACCTGCAATTATTCCTCCTCAGTGCGTCTATGGAACTGTTTTATACTAAAATAATATCACTATACTATTATACATACTGACTTTCACTGTACCTATTATATTGCACAAAGAGAATTTATGTTTACTTTTGATAATGAGTTCCTTCAGGACATGTACTTTTGATATGGGGAATTGAACTCTCAGGCTCAGGCTCACCAGGCAGACACTGTGCCACCAAGCTACACCCAGTCTCAGGACAAGTATTTTTAGATATACATATATTTTCATACACACCCTATTGTGTAGCTAGGCATATAAATGTGCTTATTCCAGGTGTCTGGCACAGTCCTTGGAAATCAGAAGATATTCCATTAACATATGTGGAATAAATGGATATTAAATAAAAATGACATTTCTAAAAGAAATGTGCCAAAAAAAACAATAGTACCAAGTCTATATAATTTATACATAGCAATAATATACTGGAAATGTATCATTAACAAAGAAGTACTAGTTTTCAGTACCTAACTATGAATATGCAATGCTAACAAATACAATAAAATCACTTAGAAAAACTCAAATGACCATTAAGAGGGGAATAATTTTTAGAAATGGGTTATGTGATCACTCTTTGTGAAACAGAATACAACTGAATTTTGCTTTTCATTTTAGAGTTTGTAAGAAAGAAAAAAGTTTCTTATTTTAACTAAGCCATAATAAGCACCCCACCACACAGCTTTTTCTGCAGTCTGGAGATGGAGCCCAGGGCCTTTGTTCTGGGCTGCATCTCCAACCCTTTTTTTCTTGAGATAGGGTCCTGGCAAATTGCCCAGGTAGGAGTTGACTTTGTGATCCTGCTTTAGCCTCCCAGAATGCTGGGATTACAACTGTGAGCCACTGTCCACGCTTAAAAGCATTTTTAAAAAAAATTTTAAAGGGAAAAAAGGTTTGCTGCACATAGGAACATTTTCAAAATGAGGAAAGATCTAAGATAATTTGGCTTTGAAATACACATGTAAAATAACATAAAGGCCCAAATTTAATATTCTGCAAGTTTGTAAGTTTTTAAAGAGAAGTGTAAGAACAGCATTTATACCATGTTTGCTGGAGTTCTGATCCAAAGATGTGTTCACAGAGATGCTGTCCACTGTGGTCCACTTCCTTAGTCTTGACTGTGGCTCTTTAATACTGTTCATTTCCATATTTACATTCAAGTTTGAGTTCAAGCCTTCACAAAACAGAACAGAAACTTAAAAATCTTACAAAGCACAGCACATTTTACTTTTGGTATAATAGGTCTACTTTTTAGAAAAACATATATAACTAATCTCATATTTTCGATTCTGCTTAATTCCATAGTAAAGATCACCCTGCAAATGTGGCAACCAAGTAACAAAAGACAAAACAGACATCCTGGCTCCTTACCAAAGTAAAACAGAAACAATAGACAGAAAAAGCCTGGGGAGATAATGGGAGAGCAATATACATGAATGCAGAGTCATTATCTAATACTCCAGTTTTCAAGCCACAGAAGGATTCATACTATAATTGTATGTATACAATTATTTCTTCAGATATTTTGATTAAACTCTGGCAAAAGAGGAAAAAAGTTTTAAGAGGGCCAAATATAATTTTAACTTAACATAATGTATCTAATTTAGCTAATTCCCAGGAGTACCATGCACACAGAATATGTGATCATCTTTGGTTGTTTACAGACTGAAACATTTTCAGTTGGCCAACTTCGACTTATTGTCTCATTTTATAAATAATAATTTAATGATTTTATAAATAATACCCTCAGTTGGCCAAAAGGACATTGTGATTTAAAAGTCAGAAAACGTCTTTTTTCTCAACTATGCTGGTAGCATATACCTGTAATCTCAGCACTCTTGGAGGCTGAGGCTTATAAATTTAAGCCCAGCCTGGGTAATTTAGTGACTCAGACCCTATCTCAAGATTTTAAAAAATGGCTGAGAATATAGCTCACTGAAAAGACCTGGGGTTCCAATTCCCAGTACTGAGTGGGGGAGGAGGGGTGCTGTCTCCTAACAGGGTGACTCTCACATGCTAAGGCACAATCTACTCAAACTTTGTCAGAAGCATGGCCACCTCAGGTAATCCTCTTGGAGCAAGGACAAAAATTTCACTCAGATATCGTGGAGTCAGAAAACTGACCAGTAGGGCTGGGGATACAGTGCAGTGGCACAGCACCTGCCTGGAAAGTGCAAGGTCCCAAGTTCAATTCCCTGTACAAAAAAAAAACCAGGGAAGAGAAAACTGACCAGTAAACTAGTATTTTATAGTGTGAGCCAAGAGCTGTTAAGATGAGAATCACCTAAAATGCCTGTTTAAAAATGGAAGATTTGGCTAGGCATAGGATGTATACTTGCAATCCAAGTGCTTGGGAAGCTGAGACAAAAGGGTCACCCTAAAGTTTAAGGCCAGTGTGAGCTACACAGTGAGTTCAAGGCCAGCCTAAATAACATGGAGCAACCCTGTCTCAACACTACCTATACTGCCATGCAAAAGATAACTTCCCAGGAGAAGTCAAAATCTTTAACACACTCCCAGTAGTTCTTATCCTAAAGTTTCTTTCTTTCTTTCTTTCTTTTTTTTAAATCGGTACCAGAGATTGAACTCACAACCACACACCTGCAAGGCAGGCGCTTATGCTGCTGAGCTAAACGCCCAGCCCACCCTAAAGTTTCAAATGAAATGATTCTGAATTCTTGGTCTGATGATGAAGAGTTTGTGATATTACTCAGCCAAACCTAAAATATTTAAAAACATAAATTCTCTAAAATCCCTATTTTTGCAGAGAGCAATCAAATTTGTGGTCTTATGGCCACTCTGATTACATCAAGAACTCGCAATTTTTTCTTAAGAAGTTTAGATAGTATCTCAGGTTTTATGATTCCCTCAGCCTCTATGCAACTCAGCTACTGTCATCCAAAAGCAGCCACAGATAATGTTAAAGAGCATGGTTGTATTTTATAAAATTTTATTTATAAAATGAGGCACTAAGTTGACCAACAGGCTCTAGTAACCTATTCTAGATAACTACACTGGTGTTTGTGTGGGTTAAACAGACTTTCTGAATTAGGAAGATGTCCATCAGAATAGGAAATCCTGAATTTAGAACTGGTCTCTCTACTGACTCATTTTATATGTCAAGAGTATATTCAAATATTAAGAGGCATCTTCCCTCAGCACATTTCATAGTACCTGGGCATTCTCTATCACTACACTACTGTGTATGGGATCACCAGGTGCCAGCCAAATGAAGTCTACAGTAGCCAGGGACAATGTAACTGACAAGAGATCTGCTTCTGCAAATGGAGAGATTGCTAACAATCCTAAGGGCTCAAAGTTCAATTTATGCCCTAGCTAAGAGTCTGTGGCCACACCACAGAGAGCCAAATCACATATCCGTCTAGCCAAGACGAAACAGAAGCAGGGCAACAGGAAGCCTCAACCTCTGTCCACAGCTCAGAACAGCTAGGGACTGAATCTGCAGAGGACTAGAGTAGCAACCAACAAAGCTGGTTTAGAAAAAAATCGTTTTTTGGGTAAAAGGAGAAAGACAAAGCAAAATGAACAGAAAGTGAACAGGAATCAAAAATATAATCAAGAGAATGAGAAAAATAGGGACCTAGGAAGGAGAAAATGTATAAGCCTGAAATTTACACAAAGCAAGTAAAAGTATGGAGCCAAAGGGAAAAGCTGAAGGGGAAGCATGTATAATAAATAGATCCCCTTCCCTCATAGCTGTTTTCTTATTTGTATCTGTAATCACTCATAAACCGAAACCTAGTAAACATGATGGTAAGCATTCCGATTGATTCCCCAAAGCAACACTACTCAAATTCTCTACTACACTGTTTCTAGTAATGGTATTTTCAGATTTCCCATCCCTTCATATTCTATAATTAAGATTACCTAGGGAGACTTAAAAAAAAAACATTATCTAGGTGTTAAAAAGAAATGGTTCCTTTATTCTAGTCCAGTTTACGAGGAGATAGAATTTTTGAATGGTGAAGTTTTCTTGAATGGAGAGAGACTACCCCTGAAGAAAGAAGGTACACTATGTCTACGAGAGGGTGTGGCAATACTCTGCAGGGAGCAGCTCTGGGAACGGAGACACCTGAAAGGGAAAGGGGGAAGCACATGTATGACGGCCCCAGCTCAGAGTGGCCAAGGGGACACCCACCTATAGGAAAGTTGCTGAAAGCATTTATTGGTGATGGCCCTTTTTGCAGCTCTGGTGTAGTGTGGGGCATGACGTTGTCAAGGAAAGACTTCATGGCTGGCTGATGGAGTGACTGCTGCTGAGATGGTGGAGTCTGTTGCTTCACCAACAGGTTTGGATCAAGTTGACGAGATTGTTGCATCATTTGCTGCTGCACACTAAGAGGTCGACCCTTAAAACAACAAAATGGGAAATCTATGGTGGAAAAAGCCTTTATACACACCTACATAATCTTCATTTTAAAATTCACTTGTTTCTCAAAAGGAAGGTGAACATCACAGTATAATAGTTAATATGACTCATGCACAAAGAGCAGACTTGATAAACAAGATGCTTCATTATATATTTAATGACACTTCTACTGCTCCACTCTCATAGTAAAGGAAATGAAGCAAGGCCAGCACTGCAAAGGGAAGGGTGTGAGCTACCTGCTGGTCTTGCTGCTGCCGGTTACCAGAAGGCACGCTTCTCTGACTCTGCGCCCTTTGCTGCTGCACTAACAATCGCTGGGGAGAGATGGTGAAAAGGCTGTTACTGTGACGCTCATTTACACTGTTCACTTCAAAATAACGACGGCTGTTGGACCTACAGGGCCACAGTTTAATATACCCAATGCTGACACTCCCCACTTCACCTAGTGTGACTTCTTCCTGGCTTACAGCCAGCCATTCTGCAGAAACTCAACCTTTGGTTCAATCTCAACTTTCAATTCAACAGGAAAGCATCTTACCACCACCATTCTAGACATGCCTGGGCCTCATCTCAAAGCATCCTGCATTTCTTGGAAATGCTTCTCCCTGGTGTTCACTGTCTTCTCTGACAGACTGTAAACTGTACTCGGGTCTGATTATGCCTGCTTTCCTTCTGCAGTACTTCCTGCACAGAGCCTAGTTGTTTGGCAGCATTAAGTAGAAAATAAATGTGTTACCTGTAACTGGGAGATCTGGGAAAGCTGGTTTAGTTGGGATAGCTGGTTCAGCATGGCTACCTGTTGAGGGCCAAAGAGCGGATTCAGGCCACCGTTGTTTGGTGCATACTTCAGCAATGAAACTGGAACCTTAGGATCACAATGGTAAGTTAATAATGTTGATAAAATAACTCAGACCAGCTAAATGTACCATGTATCTTATCAACAGAGCAGTTAAATTAGTGGAATATTCATTGGGTGATTATGGCCTTTGCATTGGTCTACTATTCATGCATGCTTTTTAAAGTTGAGAGTTGAACCTTAAGCCAGCCAATTTTAGTTTGTTGTTCTCCCAAGATGATGTATGGGGGGAGGGGAGGAAGGAAGAGTACATTTTTCTTCATCTTTCCCACATACTTTGTAATAACAACCAATCAGAACTTACTGCACCCCAAAGATGCCAGTAAGTATTCTGCTTGTCTAATCGTCTCCTTCACATGCGAAACGATTCAGGGTTCTTCTCCAGGTAAGCAGAGAAGACTATAATGGAAAGGCATTTACCTGAGGGGAGAGTAATGGAGGAGGCACTTGAGCACGGAGATTAGGCTGAGATGAACTGAGAGGTTGTGCTGGAGGCTGCTGCATGCCCCGGGGTTGTGCTGCTGTGTTTCCAACACCAAACACACTGGGATTGCCATTCTATGAAAACAACAAAACAGGGATATCTCATAACCATCTCATACTACTGCTCTAAACACAGTAACTACATATAAGAGAGATCTTATTGCTAATACAAATCACTCAACAGAGAGCCTAAAATACACATCTGCACTTACCTGTCTAACAGAATTCAAGTTTTGCATACCCAGCCCTGCTATGGAGCCAAGGGCCTGGTTAGGTAGTGCACTATTTGAAGGGGGAAGCTTCATGCTTTGACTGGACATAAACTGCATGTTTTGGGATTCATCTGCTACAATGCCATCCTGATTGGACAGACAGAAAGATGTGCAACACCAGCCAAGCAAACAAGTGGAAGGGAGAAATCATTGCAGGAACAGAAGAGAAGTCACATGACATTCCAGCATCAACAGGAAACAGGCAGAAAACAGAAGAGATCAGATTAGTGTTAATTCTAGAGCACATAAAAAGAGCCAAACATATTCTATGGGGTTAGGAAGAAAATATAAAGTAACTCCTAAATTGAGACATAACTGGGGCAATCAATTACAAACTCATTAACAGAACAGGGCACTGGATTATAACAATTTATATAACATATAATGTTCTAAAATTTTAATATGAAAATTTATGCTACTAAATATATTGGTTTATTAGTCACACAGATAAAGGAAAAACAACAAGAACAACAAAACTTACCTTATCAAAATAAGGATTGCGTTCCATGGAAGACTCTTTGGAAATCTGAGGCCGAGAACCCGGGCCTTTCCCGACCGTTCGATTGTAATCACCAATATTTAGGCTATGTTTATCTATCTCCATTCGTTTGTCTTGTAACATTCCTAATAAATGCAGGAGACTATATTACCAATAGGAAGATAACCTAAGTGGTTTTTGATAAATTTATAACACAAAGCAAAATAATCACTTACTAAACTGACTTCTACCTTGACAAGGATATGTGAAAAATGCATTTGCCATTTCATAAATCTTGCATTCCTCACAGGTGAAGCTAGATTTCTGCAGAGACTGTTATTTACGAATGAATTAATTTGACAATAGACTAGTAAACAGAAGGTGGCTAATAACGTTATTTTACAAACCTTGTAAGCAACATAATTTGAGAACTCTTTAGTCACTTTCAATCTGCTTAATTTTACAATAAAAAGTTCCATTAACAAGAATAAAAATAAAAGGTACATTTTGACAAACCACCAATTAGTGTTTACTGTGTCATGCATCATTCTAAGTATTTTATATACAAAGCCCATCAAAAAATGTTTACATCAGGAAAAGAAGAAAATACTCATACGTAGTATAAATATTTTAATACTAAACTTATTGAGGTATCATGAGATTAATGCAAGTTATCTTTGGCCTCTATAGTTACAAGAGGTGCAAAAACATGACCTTCTCTCATGGAAACTCTTCCTGTGAAAATTTTCTTTGTTGGATATAGGTGGCCCCAAATTATCTCAATAAGTCATTTAAAAATGAATAAGCGCTTTGCCATCCTCTCTTAAAACACTGATCCAGCCTGGTCTTTCTCTTTCCACACTGGATCTCAGGCTTGCGATTCTTGAATGTTCAGCTATATCAAAGCTCACTCCGGGGCTGGGGATTTAGCTCAGCGGCATAAGCACCTGCCTTGCTAGCAGGCGGTCATGAGTTCGATCCCCAGTACCGATAAAAATGAAAAAGACAAAAAAAAAAAAAAAAAGAAAAAAGCTCACTCCGTACACTCAGTGTCTCACCTATTTTGACACTGTTCTCTCAGACTTTACTACTGAGGTATCAATAGTCATCTCCTTTCAAGTGGCCCCTATATTCAAGTGTCTAGCTCTGACTTTACACCTTAGCTCAGTCCCACAGCTCTGCCTTTCCACGTCAGTGCCCCACTGTCACTTCTAACAAAGTTTTTCATTTCATTTCCCAGTGCCTCTTCTCCATATTTTTTTACTCCTCAAATCTTATCCGTCCATCATTTCTTTGTAATTGCTGTTCTTTGGGATGTCTGTCACTATCAAAACACCTTCATTCCAGGCAAGTGGAAAAATTAACAGAAAAAAATTCCTAAAATAGATACGTTTCAAAAACGCCAATTGTTTCTTAAAGAACTGTTCTATGAGTCAGGGAGCTGAGCAATTTGACTTTTAGTACTCTGAAGAGCCTCCCTTGGCTGCCAGTAATCCTATGCAACAATCTCCTCCTCTGTTCTCTCTGCCCCCACTAACAGTGCCACCATTTACACATCCACCAAAGCCAGTTACCTTGAACTAGTTAGCTCTCTATATCTAATCCTGTTACCAGTCAGCCAACCAGCTCTTTACAGGTATCTCCAAGTTGTTCCTTTCTAATAAGCTACATGGTTTTTTCTGTGTAAACAATTCTTTTAAGAGTAGTGTTACACCTCCCCCATAAACTACCACCCAACACTTCTACAGACCACTTAAAATAAAAATAAAGTGAGTGCCTAATGCAAAGCTCTCCCCTTAATCTATCAACTCTCTCTAATAAGGATCTTTAGGCACCAATGGCATGCCACAAGTCCACTGGAAAATCCAGAGCTTGAGTACTATTCTCTTCTTTTTTTTTTTTTTTTTTTCCTGTCTTTTTGAGACAGGGTCTCGCTATGCAGTTCAGGCTGGCCTTGAGCTCACTTTGTAGCCCAGGCTGGTCTCAAACTCACAATGATCCTCCTGCCTCAGCCTCCCGAGTGCTGGGATTACAGGCATGAGCCACCTCGCATGGTTAATTCTCTCAAAACTCTGTACTTACTTAGCTTCTGACTCTATCTTACCCTGCCTCTCTCAAGATCATTTTTACATGCCATCACTCCTTATCTGTCTTAGAATCACTCTGTGATTCTTGCTGGCCAATCTATTTTTATGGCTTTTTACTAGCATAACTTAATTAATTACATTATCAATTGTGAGTTCAGCATACAGATTTTCTATTGTTTATTGAACATCACTACCTGGTTTTTATAGCAACTTCATAATAGTATTTGATCTATCAAACCTACCATGCCTGTTATATTCTTACCTTAAATAATGTTCAGTTATTCATTATTTGTCTTAATTTGTCACTTAATCTGTCTTAATTTGCAACTATTCCCTTCTTTCTCTTTTCCATTTTTACCTTATCTGAAGTTATCAAAATTGGTCCTTGAGTAAGAACCTCGAGCAGAACCCAAGGAGCAACCAAAAGCCAGAGACAATACAAAGCCTCTCAAGACTGCGCTTCGCTTCTTTCTTTCCTATAAGAAGGCGGGTACAAGCAGAGCTGCTGCTTTGCAGTGAAGTTTAAATGAGTGTGTGCAAAATGAGTAGTCGGAGGGCCACTGCCTCAATTCCAAATTCATCTGTTCTGGTTTGCTCTATTAAAGCTATTCACTGTCTCTCAGGTTCAAATTCACCCTTTCTGCCTACTCTCTGAAAATGATACCTGGACCCCTTCTATTTTTCCCCTTGCCAGCTGGCACTAAGGCTTGGTCAGTAGAGGGCGCTGGTGAGGCAGTGCAGAAAGAATTCTGGCTTTCTGCCCACTATTCACTTAGCAGGCTCAGACACAGGCTCAGCTTCTTCAGTGCCGGGTTGGTCAGCAGCACTCGGGACCAGCATTTCTCAGCACTCATACACTCCTCTGTTTTGTAGCAGTATCTGTTGAGCTAGCTCTCCTGGTACATATTTCCTGAACCAGAATGTAGATTTCTTTTTCACATTAGATTTTATCGGTACATTTCAGATGTATCACATCACATTCATCATAGAGAATTTGTACCTGTACATGATATTATTTGTTTTTCCCCCACTCCCCTACCTTCCCTTCAACCCCTCCTCTGCTCCTCATTTACAAAACTTTTTCCATGTTTTCCCTCTTTTCTCTTTTTAAAAAATACCTGTCCCTTCTTTCCTTTCCTCCCAAGGGTATATTTCCAAGAAATTCCACCAGAGTGACTGTCACAGCAATTTCTCTGCCAGTGAGCCATTGAGGAGCAGAGATTTGTCCTCACAGGATAAGACATATATTCTGAATATGGATTTTTATACATCTGCTAACACCCAGGATCTCGCAGGATATTTTATCAATTGTTATGGCATTCCTCATAGCATTGTGCCAAGGCAAAGAAAGTACAGTAATGGGCTCATGGAATTAACTGATTTTACTACGTTTACCATCATCTGAAAACAGTTAACACAACTGTTAACTGTTAATGCAAAGTAATGGGTAGACTGACTTCACTGAAGACTCAGCTACAAAGCAAGTCAGGAGACAACACCCTAAAAGGATGGGTGTTGGTCTTACAGGACACAGTGTACGCCTCCCCTATTACCAGAATTTGTAGGTAGAGAAACAAAAGGTGGAAGTGGGAGTGGCTTCTCTCACAATTGCTTCCAAGGCCACTTAGAGAATTCTTATTTCCTGTTCTGATGACTCTGCTGGTTTACAGTCCTTGAGAATGAAAACATTTTAGCCAAAGACATGAAAATGGGTTCTACTCATGGAAATGAAGACTGACACCTGGGCACTTTACCTCCTTATGGCCAGCTTAAAAAGAAGAGCTTAAAAAAAAAAAAAATAGCTAGTCTGCTGGCTGGAGTAAATGACTCTGAATAAAAAGAAAAAATTGAATGTCTCATACAGAAGGAAGGCAGGGAAGAGTCTGAGTACTTCTATGACTAATAGTAAAGATTCATGAAACAACGCAGAGGCAAGGTCACTGAGGACTCAAGACTCTTCACGAATAAAGGTTTGGGTTGTCCACCAGTTAAAGAATAGCACTAGTGCTCAACCTAAGTCTAAGAATGCAGCCATTAATATTTGTGACAGGTTGAGATCAACTATAGAAATAAGAATAGAAGATGAGCAACCCCAACCTGAAAAGCCAAAATCTGAAGCCTGTTGCACGTGTGATGCCCGAGGAGTTTTAGACATGGAAGCATGTCAGATTAGAGATGCTTTAACTGGCAGCCTATGAAAATATTCTAACACACACACACAAACACACACACACACACCCTGATATCTAAAATACTTCTGGTCCCGAGTATTTTGCACACATGATATTCAAACTGATGCAGCTTTACACATTTTCTTCTATTACTTATATCTGTCTTTATTTGTATGGGGCAACTGATGCCTTCTCCTTCCCATTTTTATCTTATCTGAAGTTATCAAAAGTCTGTCTGTCTGTCTATCTATCTATCTATCTATCTATCTATCTATCTATCTATCTATCTCTATAAAGTTGCCAGACAGCACTTAGGCTGCTGGGCTAAATCCCCAGCCCCTATAATTAGTTTCTTGAGTAAGAACCTCGAGCAGAACCTGAAGAGTAACTAACACAGCCAGAGATGACACAAAGTCTCTCAAGACTGCACTTCTTTCTTTCCTAAAAGAAAGCAAGTACAAGTACAGAGCTGCTGCTTTGCAGCGGAGTTTAAATGAGTGTGTGCAAAATGAGTAGTTGGAGGGCCACTGCCTCAATTCCAAGTTTATCCCTTTTGATTGCTCTATTTAAAAAAAGGGGTGGGGGATCTACATGTTTTTTCTTCTTTTCTTTTCCTTTTTGTAAAATACTTTTCCTTTCCTCTGAAGGGTAGATTTCTAAGAAATTCTACCAGAGTGACTGCCACAGCAATTTCTCTGCCATTCAGTGAGCCATGTTATTTTCCTTTGCTAACTGGCACCAAGGCTTTGTCAGTAGAGGGCAGAAAAGAGACACTACAAGATAAAAGATTTGGTTGCCAAGTTCTGACATACTTCCTCCTGTGAGACAAGCAGCTTTCCAAGTAACAGGCTCCTACAATGCTCAGTTCATCAAGAAATTCAACCAGTACCCTCTGGAAGATATGCAGCAGAGGCCTCCAGTGAGACATGTCACCTGAGAGCAGCTTTCCCTGCTCTCTTAGAGGTTAACTTCCTGCAATTTCACTAGGGTGGTTTCACAGTGACTTCTCTAAGTCATAGTCATGCCAAAGAGTTGAGGGTTTGGAAGAGGGGTTGGATAAACATGAAATTTGCTCTTCCTGAGGTCTCCGCTCAGTCTGGGATTTAATATATGTCTTTTTGAGACAGGGTCTCACTATGCAGTTCAGGCTGGCATTGAACTCACTTTGTAGCTCAGGCTGGTCCCGAACTTGCAACAATTCTCCTGCCTCAGCCTCCCGAGTGCTGGGATTATAGGTGTGTGCCACCACATCTGGCTCTACTCTACTCATTTATTTTTTAGAGTACCTTTAGAAACCCTCACTACTCTTAATTCTTTGTCAGTTAATAGGTATTTATAGCTGTACTCAAGTTTCCTTTTGATACTTATCCCATAGTTTCTCTCTCTTGAGGGCACTCAGACTAATACACGCGCACTACTATCTTCCAAAGTGTCCACATAAAGCAGCTAAGAATTGTCTTTCACTATACCCTTTCTTCATTCCCTGTAACAAAATGGTTAAAATTATCATCCTCTGGTGACTCTAATTTCATGTGCACACCAAATTTAGCGTCTAACTACCTTCTTAGTTTGCAGTTTTGAAAATAATCACAGGGCAGCCTACAACAAATTTATCACTGGCTTAGTAGTCTTTAATGTCAGAACCTACCTATTTGTCTAACATTTTCATCTAAGTGAAGTACTGGCATCTCTTTCCCCTTCCTCCTCCTCCAATCACCAATTTTGCATTTTTTGTATCACTATATGAACTATTTGCCATTTTTCCAGTATGTCATATATTTAGGTCTTCATACATGTGGTTCTCTCAGCAAGAAGACTAAATCCTCTCTCTCTGCCTAGATAATGTACCCTTGATAGAACTTTGAGATAATCACAGATTCATATAACTACCTTAAATTAACTGCCTTAAATTAACTACCTTACATTATTTTCTTTCTTTCTTTTTTTTTCTTTTGTCTTTTTCCTTTTTATTGGTACCGGGGATCAAACTCACGACTGCCTGCTCGCAAGGCAGGCGCTTATGCCGCTGAGCTAAATCTCCAGCCCTCTTACATTATTTTCAAAACTGCACTTTGAAGGAACATGAACACATTTAACCACACCTTATTAATGTACACAGAGAATACAAGAATATGCAATTAGGTGCACAGGTCTCCTCTCTCCTGGCTGAGTGCAAGGCTTTTTTGGTAAGATTGGATGGTAGATATGCCTGTTCTCTGCCATAAATATAAACTCAAATTATTTCATTTTCTCTCACCTCCAGAAAGGTCCATCTTATTGCTCTGTACATTTTCTTCTGGTGAGTCTCTCTGAATCAACAAAAAATACCAACATTTTAGCAGATCTTCACTTATCAGTAAAAATAAAGAGTATTTGTATTATCATTATCTTTGATAATGAAGGTCAAGTAGACCATAAAGTTTTTCATTATATTTTAATATGAAATTCCATGAGATCAAATTTTCAGTTAGTACTATAAAAATTAAGACCTAAAGGCCAATTTTATACTGTCTTTAATCGTATTTTAAGTACTCAAAGATGAATAATCTTTAAGACAAAAAAAAAAAAAAAAAAAGAAACTGGAATTATAGATCATCCCTAAAGGGGAGAAGGCTACTAACAAAATATACTTACCGAAAAACTGATATTTGAAAACTGTTTAACAAATGGATTTATCCATGCTTCTTCTTGCTTGTTGCCACCTTTCATCATTCCCTTTGTAAAATAAAAGAGTAGAAAAGATGCCATGCCATCTCTATTTATCTGGGTATAGTGATGGATTAATACAACTTTAAGACAATTCCCAACTCTCATTTTTAGCCAATAATTTCTCCTCCAACTCTTATCAGAGTTGTTAACAATTAAAAAAATCAACTTTATTTGATTTTCAACTTCCTTTGCTCCAGTCCTCTGGTATAGCTGTAATGTATAGAGAAATCTCTAACGGCAAGCAGTCAGAAGGAAAAGATGGAAGCAATGGGTACAGTGACCCACAAAAAGAAAAATGGCCTTTGAGTAATGGAGAACTGCCTACTGAGCAGCTCCCAACTTACAAATGGATTTCATTACATCAGACTTGTTGTAATTTGGATTTCTGGAATTCTCACATGAATTCCAGTAAAAAATAGTAACTCAGGTTTTCAAGTTAGACCAAAGAAACCAATTTAACCTATAATTTAATTATCTGCAATATAGTGAAAAAAATCATGTACTACATGCAAAATATTTAAAATTTTTAATTTGTGCTACCAAGCACACAGCACCCCCTGTTGTAGTTGGAGTTGGGATTCCTCCCATTTAGCACTGGTAGGCTGGGTACTCGGCACTGCACTAAGACCTGCCTGAGAGAATGAAGGGCCTGTGATTAGCAGCAGGCTGGTACACAAGAAGGCTAGAAACCACAGGGCAAGGCCTCTCATTTATGTGAAAGTCACAGAGCCATTCTCAGTCTATGGCCTTCGTTTCCTTTTCCCATTGCTACGACCCATTCCTTCTGACTGTGAAACAGAACACAGCTTCATCATTTCCCCACTAAATGCAGGTCTCTGAAGCAAGCACCTAACCCTCTCCGAGGCTTCTGAAAGTCATCCTAAATTCTTTTTCCTTTCATTCCCAGACCCATCTCTAACTAGCTGCTACCAAATTCTCCTGTCTCTTCTATTTTAAAATGCCTCTCAAATTAGGTCCTTCCCTATATCTATTCTTGTTTCCCAAATCAAACTCTCTTTCCTATCCTGAAATATCTCTTTCCTGAGATCCCCTAACTCAGGTCTGTCCTCTGCTCCCCATTTATATTTCATTCTATCACTAGGCTAGCTCTGTTTAAAAGATAATTTAAAAAAAAACTCACTGACATTACCTTCCACTCTAACCCTAAACCTAACCCTAATCTCACTGGCTCCACTTTTTATAAAGTTCAAATTCTTCAGAATGATACCAAATTGTATAATCAGTCCTTAATCTAACTAGAGCCAGATTTCTTTTCACTCCTTTCTAGAAATTCTATATGGCAGGCAACTATCTCCCTGAATACATCCCACCCCAGGCATCTTCCAGCTGACACACTTATGAGGTTCTCCTAATGTCCCGCGAGACTACGAGCTTCTTGAAGCTGCAGCTCATATCCTTAGTGTACTTGCATCCCCAGCACCAAGCACAGTACCTGGCACACAGCAGAAGCTAAATAAATGTTTGCAGTTGCTTTCTAAAGAATTTTACTAGTAGAAACAAAGGAGAAAGAGTAAAAAGGCTACACACCCTTTCCCTTCTCCTTTTTTTGCCACTCAGACCCTGTAAGGAAAGACAAAGTCACAAAACAGCACGGTCCAGTGGGAAGAACACAGGGTTTGGAACTGGAAGACCTAAACTTAAGTCCTTGCTTTGCCACTTACTAGTTACGCAACTTTGGGCAAGTCACCACCTTTTCCACCTCATATTCCTCAGCATCCTATCTGTGAAGGTTATGAGGATCATATGACTTATGTAAAACATGTAGCAGCACTTCATAAGCTATATGGCAAGGCAACAGGTAGATTCAGCCAAATGACAAATTATAAAATGAAAGAGCAGGTCCTAGACTTTGAACCCCAGGATTAAAGGTGTGGGACCTTGGCAGTTAGTTCATCCAGCTACTCACTGGGTATCTGACTTCTAAGGTCCCTCAAAAGGTAATCATTCTTAAACAAGGTGGGGAGGACATATGAGAATCACTATAGGAGATAGGGCACATATTTTTAAAGACACTCCCAGGAAAATCTGACATCAGTTCTTAATACCACCTCTCTAGAACAAGTGCTCTAAATTGGTGGTTCCTAAACCCAAATCTGAGTCAGAGACATATAGAGAGATTGGTCAGTACAGGAAACTTGGCCCAATTTCCAAAACATCAGTAGATTTAGGGTACGGGAAACCATACTTCTAACAAAGGCTTTTAACATATGATTCTGTTATAAAGCCAGGTTTGGGAGTATGATTTGTTCACATTCAAGAACAAAATTAAACTCAGTCTATTCCTGGGTATTTCTGTCACGGGACCTTTCAGAATGAGAAAGGGACAAAGAGGATGGATGAATAAGGAGAATGGTTACTCCAGGTAAAGGGAAGCTTGGATTCCAGGTGAGGAAGTGGGATGGGAGATGAACTGGCAGCGGGATGGAGAGTCAACATGGAGATTTGCCCTTCTCTTCATCCTCACCACTGCAGGCACCACCCTAGAATCAGGGGTTGCTCCAGGCAGTATAGTGGAGGGAGAGGAGGAGAGAAATCCCAAGCTGTAGCAGTGGGGAGAAAGGAAGTTCCTGTGGTCTTATGTTTTTCTAGGTGGCTGCCCACAGAAGGCTATACCTAAGTTGGGGACTGCCTGGACTGTACTGACTGCCATAAATGGGCAGGCAGAAGGTAAATTTTCTGTGGGTAAACTACCTTTGGAATTTAAGTTTCAAGAGCTTTGCCCTTGAAATGTTTACCTTCGATGACATTTTCTTGGTGTATGGTGGCCAATTTAAAGATGAGTTAAGTTCTTGAGATGAGTTACTATTCCACATTCCAATCTCTACATCCTCTTCCTCTTCCCAGCCAGTGGGGCGATTTCCAGGCAATGGCATATCATCACCACACCAGCCATCTTGCATAGATTTTGGCCCTAATTGTGGATTGGTGATACAAAGAGAAACAGACTTTAATAAAGTGATTCTTTTTTGAAGATTTAAGTACACACTGAAGAGTACAGACAGGGGAAATAAAATGACACTTTATTTCTCTTCCCAAACCACATAATAGTAACACATTTTATAAAAGGTCCATTAAAAATAATTCATTTTTATTTAAAAATTCAATAAATCTCTCATGCTTTTATAAATCAGAGCTTTTCTAAACCTGGATAATGGTGGCATTCATGTTTGCACCCACCTGTCAATCTGCATAGTGACATAGAAGGCAGAAGATGGATAAAATTAAAAACTATCAATTTTGATGCATATTTTTAAAAGAATGGCAAAAGAGCATTTGAAGTCAAAAGCAGAAGGCATTTATCCACACAGATGGTCTTTGGGATTCCTAAAGGATATCCTGCATATAATACGGAACAGTAAAAATGCTGATCTAAGCCTTGGTATCCCTTCTAACTGTCCATATTGTCAGTTTGGACATATGCCCCATGCTGTGCTATTCAGTCTCTTAGATAGCATGAAAACTGGTAGATTATTCTGATAGTCCAAGCTGGTAAAACATAAATTTGGTGAAGGATATGTAGATCATTAATAGTTACAGTTCTAAGGAAACTGAAATGAATAAAATTTAGAAAGATATAAATACAAAGAGCCAAACACTGATCATGTAATATGCCATGTAGATAACATTATCAACAATATAGACATATCATCATATTTTTTAGCTGTAGCCAATGAGTTATTACCACTATTACAAAATAGCTACCAGGGATAATGGTCAACTTACCAGATTTGCTTAACACTTGTGGACCAACAGAGCTAGAGCCCCACGTGGATGTGCCGGATGCCGCAGCAATGGGTTCCCCCCAGCTGGGACCACTGTCTATGGGTTTACCCCATGCTGAAGTACCATTATCCACAGTTGTGGCTGGAGTAGAAGGCTCCCCCCAGGGCTCACCCCAGCCTTTAGAAAGTATGAGAAAAGAAGTCATCATTATAACCAGTAAGGAGGTACAGTAGAATAAAGGACAACAAGGAATGCTTGGAAAACCAAAGATGAAGAATTCCATTTCACATATGATGCTACACCAGGTAAGGAAACACCTGTTTTAACACAGATTTCCTATTAATGTAATTTAACTGTATGGCAAACTTTAAAAACAAAAACTCTTCTTTCACAACTGCCCTCTGGGCCAAGAGTAAATTCTTTTGAATAACTTAAATTATAGTAAGTCATCCTTCCCTAGGATGAGTAAAGAGTCAAGTCATTCTGAATCATTTCTAAGGAACTGAATATAGCAGGTAATGAAATTGGGTTAACAGTGTAAAACTTTATACTACTACTGATAACTTTCACTAAAATTGTAATCTTTCTACATCATGAAACAGTCATATGACTAACAATGGGTAAGCACCCTGTTTTAATATTCAAAAAGCCAAAATTATTAGGTTCAAGTTGTCTAAAGCCAATAAACAAACCATAAACATATTTTGTTTAAAAAATCCAAACAAAGGACTTTCTTTTAGATACACTGTTTCTTCTAAGAACTAAACTTAATACAGTAAGCTAGACTTAAACAAAAAAAAAAAAAATTAGGTGCTAAAAGGTCACCTCATTAAACCATTTCCATGTCTAATCAGACTAGCATTCAATAAAACCTCTATTAACAAACACAAGGCATGACAATTAACCTCAATGAAAATTTCACCAAAATAATTTATAAAGAAAGGAATCAGATTTTTGTAAAAGGAAAAATGGAAATATCCTAGAAAGGTATGATCAAATATTTTATACATACATACTATTTCATGCCAACTTAAAAATATCCCAGCTGGGAGGTGTGGCTCAAAGAAAGAGCACATGCCCAGCAAGTGTAAGGTCTATGGTTTGATCCACAGCATATGGGAGCCAGAGTAACCCTTCAAAGTCAAATGTAGCACCAAATGTTTAAAAACAGTACTGTTTCTAAGATACTTTTTTATTTCTGAGGTATTTTAGTAAAGTAAAAGCAGCAGCCCTAACTCACAAGTGAGAGAAGCATACACTATTCCCACTCAACCCTACTTGTCTAATTCTGCCTTCTGTTGCACTCCTAGGCAGTACACAAGATTCAGACAGTACTGCCAGAGGTGAAATTATGCTACCTGGGTGAATGTGTCGCCCTATAATTTTCCTTGAGCTTTCTAGATTAGCACAAAAAGGACTTTGTGTGTGCACCCAAGCAGCCTGTTAAACACACAACACTAAGCTGCTATCGAGCTTGTTTTCAGAGACCTATGAGGACTCTTTAAGACCACAAGATTCCATAGAATAAAAGCTTACCAGAACTACTGCTTGCCTCTTTGTTTGAGATGGCACTTGCAGATGGCAGCAACTGATGTACCTGTGCTTGCTGGTCTGAACGGCTGCTGCCACTTGGGACATTTTTGTTCCACATGTTCACATTTTTGTAGTTGTATTTGCTTGGATCTCCCCAAGCTGAAGTTCCATCATCAATCTCCATTTTGCGTCGAATAGACTCTGGGGATGGTTCCTCCCAGCCTGTGGGTTCTTCTTCTTTTGTTGGGGCTGGTATAGGTCCCCCCAACCAGCCTGTACCAGGAGGTTTACCTGTAGCTGGTGGGATTCCCCAAGATCCAACAATGTCTTGTTGCTTGTTCCAGTCTGGAGAGCTGACTGGCTTTGACGAATCTCCCCAACCTAGAGACTGATTAGACTTTGGAGGGTCCCCCCATCCCTGGGAAGGATTAGGTTTAGAAGATTCATCCCATCCCGATGAATTATTTGGATTTATGTTATTTCCCCAAGTAAATGAACTAGTTTTACCAAGTTCGTTCCAACCAGAAACGGACCTGTCACTGTCACTACCTCCTGAGCTGGATTTCTTATTCGTTTCACCCCAATGGTTACTCCTTGATGTTTCTCCCCAGTTGTCACTGGCAGAAACGGACCAACCTTGGTTTGATTTTTGCCCATCACCCCATCCCTGTTTGTTCTTTTGCGAATCATTCCATGTGGACTTCTCTTCTTTGCAATTCCCCCACTGATTGCTCTTGATCATTCCTGTAGCAGCAGAATCATCTTCCCACCCCCCCTGGCAGTTTGAGCCTTTGGAATCTCCCCACCTCAGAGTAGGTTTGGGATCGCCCCACCCCGATACAGATGAGGTATCATTATTATTAGGGCTAGTCTTATCTACACATGCCCCTGAGTTAAAAGTCTGTGTTGCAGAGCTTCCCCAGGCCTCTGTCCCATTGTCAGTCTTTCTTTCCCCTCTAGGTGATGTTTCAGTATCCCAGGCAGTATTCTGCTTAATAGGAGTCTGTCCCCAACCAGAGTTGGACAGGACACGTGGATCTAAGTCAGTTCTGTTTACAATGCTTTGGAGTAATGTGTGCTGATCAATTTTTCTTCTATCTCTACTCTGACTTTCCCCAGTTCCTTTTTCTTCAAGGCGTCCAGTGCTTTCTGTACTACCATCGCTCTCCATGGTACCTCCTGTTTTGGCCCACACACTGTTTTGCTCATTTGTCTGAGATGTGGCAGAACCCTGATCCTCTTCCTCAGTAGATTTCCATCCATTTGTAAACTTCTTACCATTGCCATTTGCACTATCATTGGAATGCTGATTGCTAGGCAGTTTGTTCCACTCAACGCTGGATATATTAGTGCCAGTGTTTTGTGCAGAGGTTCCCCATCCTCTCCGACTTCCTCCAGAATTCGCACCATTCCCATTTCCCCATGATGTACTCTGGGAATTTGCTGCCCCAGACTCCCATACACCTCCTCCTTTATTCGTGTTTACTTGAAAGTTAGTGCCCATAGGCCCATTTATGCCAGGCTGCATTAGAGTTGCATTCACAGTGTCACCATTAGCTTGGCCATTGGGGCCTGAACATTTGTCTCCAGAGTAACTAGAACCATAGGCACCCCATGTAGTACCAAAAGAGCCTCCACTTTTTGACTCTCCATTGCTAAGATGAGAAAGGGAAGTGCCATTCATAACTGACGGAGCCTGTATCTGAGGATGATTCATTGTGCTCACACGCCAGGCCCCTGTATTACTACCAGGCAGTTCATTGTTCTGTACTGAACTGGAGTTTGGTAAACTAGAGGTCATAAAGTTAGTAGTGTTATTTGGTCCAGACATTTCAGTGGTAATATTTTGAGGTTGACCACTGAATGACACCTTCTGTGTACCACTTACTTCAGATTCACAAGTTTCCTGAAGGCTTCCCCAGGTACCATGGGTAGAAGAACTACTCACTTTAGAGTTAATACTCTGATTGTTAGGCATCTGGCCTATGGTACTGCACTGAATATTGATGCCAGAACTGCCACTCCCTACAGGCCCTTTTAGGGCAAGTCCATTGTTCTCTAATACTGGCCAGGCACCATGGTTGCTAGCTGAATTCAAAGTGCTTGGATTTAACCCTCCATTTGATGAAGAACTTACAGTGCCCCAAGCATTCATTCTATTGTTGCTACTTTCTGATTTGCTTTCAGGAGCATCCACAGAGACCTGACATGTGCTTATTATGGCTCCATGGGAAAAACCCCACGGCCCAGGACTACTTCCATGGCCTACATTATTGCTGCTGCTACCAACCACAAACTTGTTTTGGGAACCAAGTCCAGTGCTACTCCGAAGGCTATCTTTTTCACCTCCTGTGCTCCCTGAAGCCATGATAGTGATGTTTCTTTCTGATTCAGAACTGGAGGCAGAATCAGTATCCATGCATTCTGAAGCCAACTCTGGATCACTGCCAGGGACTGAGGGCCATGCTTCTTTTTCCAACAAGTCGTTTACAACAGCATTCTTACAGTTTGTGCTAGAGTCACTCGTAGAAGACACAGGTCCCTGCTGGGAATTCTCATAATGGGATCCTGAAGTGTTGTGGATTATATCTAGAATAAAGAAGTAGTACAACTATTTAGTGTTAGTCATTTTTAAATTTACACTAAATAAGTCTCAAAAATGCTAAGTATATTATAAATACATATAATCTAATAAGATACAATACTTGGTGCATGGTTACAAGAGCACTGGTTATTTTACTGCCAATAACTTTCCATTTCTAGTATTTCACAGAGGCAAACAATTTTGCTAAATCCTAAAACCATAGAGCAGTGCTGGGATATATTCCTTCTTCAATATATGTACACTGAATGACCAAATTACTAATAAGTCAGCCAGTAAAAAAATGGTGGACTCAGGAAGGACTGAAGATGGTGATGTATTAGGATAATGGAACAATCTGGGTTCAAAGGCCTGAGTGGAGAAAAAAGGGGCTCAGATGGAACACAGGCGAAGAAGAAGGGTAAAGATAAATTACCCAAACTTGATGAATTGTATTAGGAATATATAGGGATCATTTTCCATTCTATTTTCTAGAATAGCTTGAGCATACAACTATTTTGGTGTTACAACAAGTTTGTAAGAAGTCCAAAGCCTTCTCTATTGTATTTCCATTTCAGCAGTATTCATACTCAACTGAAATGTTGAGTAAATGTTGAGTAAAGCAAGAATATTTTTAGCTTGCTGCTCACAAAAATTCCTTAATTTACTTTCACAGCCATGTTAATTAAGAAACAACAGGAAAAAATGGTATACTAAAAAAGATCATCAAATATGATAAAAAGTCAGCCACAGATATCAAAGACCATAAACCACCAATCACATAATCTTAAGACTTTCTGCTATAAAATACATATTATCTAGTTATTTGACCACAGACAATCAGTGCTTCTGATAGTTTCCTAGATTCTTTAGTCTCATTATAATGATCTGGTAGGTAAAAATTCCACAGATATCAACCCACGAAGAGAAATGCATTCAGATTGTCTTAAGGGAGTTGCAAATAGTGTAGTTCTCTATCAGATTAAGAATCAGAAGCACCACTCACTTTTAAATACACACTCAAGTCATATTCTAGATCTTAATGAATGAACTCTAGATGTTACTAAAGCTCTATAAAATAAACATAACATAGGTGTGGTTTTCTAATACAAAAAAATCAGATTCAACCTGCATCACTTTCTTTCAAAAAGCAACTACTGAGAAGTAAAAGACGATAAGCTAAAGAGTAGGCAAGGGGACTGGAGACTAGAAATGGTCTCACAAAATATTATTTTAAAGTTATATATGGGACTTGGGTTTCTATGCCAGTTTAAGAATTATTTTATTAAACTGTCAAACAGTTTGATATCTTTCAATGCCTATAAGAATTAACTCAAGAACTAAAGGGCTACAAGAAGTCAGTTTCACAGGGTAAAACAAAACCAACATATACACATCCATCAGCACTTGTAAGCATTATCAACAGATATTCAGCACACACTATGAGCTTTACACACTCATCACAATCTTTGGGAAAACCATCTGTGAAATTGAGGTTCAGAGGTTAACTTGTGGAAATCAAGTGAGAAAGGCAAGGTTTGTCAGAATCCTTCATAAAATAGAATAGCTAACAATATATGGCTGGGACTCCAGAAACACCTGAATTCAAGTGTAGACTCATGTAGTAGCTGTATGACCAACATCTGAAAAACGAGGATACTTCTTAAACTAGTTGTTTTGTTACTGTATTATTCCATGCAATGCATTTAGCTCACTGTTGCAGCAAATTAGTGCTCTAGAGGGGCAGTTTGATACAATGATTAAAAGTACAGACGTGGCCAGGGATATAGTAGCTCAGTGGCACAGTGCCTGCCTGGCAAGTGCAAGATTGTGAGCTCTATCCCTGATACAAGAAAAAAAAAAAAAATTACAGACTCTATTGCCTGACAACTTTGACTTAGGAGCTATAAAACCACAGACAGGATTTCCAATTGCTTTGTGCCTGAGTTTTCTCACATGCAAAGTTCGAACAGTAACAGCACCAATTTTAGCCAGCAGCATCCCCACAGGACAGAAAAAGACTGGAAGAGTTGTACACTGAGTACTACCATTATTCAGTCCAATACTAGAACTTATTGATGAAATATGATTCTAAAATGAAAGGAAATAGACAACAAAGAGAAGCTGGGCATGGTGGCAAATGCCTGTAATCCGACAGTTGGGAGATTGGGGGCAAGAGGACTGCCAAGAGCTTAAAGCCAGCCTGAACTATACAGTAAGCTCCAGTCTAATACCACCAAGATAAGGGAGGAGAAAAGATCAACATGTAAGCAACAGTTTTTCTATACACTGAAAATAACCAATGAGAAAATATGATAGAAAAACTATTCCAGTCACCAGGAGCCATGAAAGGACTTAGAATCTAACTAAAACACTTAGTCTCACTGAGGACGTACTCAGTGGTAAAGTGACTGACCAGCATGCTCAAAGCCCTGGATTTGATACCTAGTACTGCAACAAACCAACCAGCCAACCTTAAAGACCTACATGATTACATTTTGCTACAGGTCATAGAAGACATTTTGATTAACTATACCAACTTGTGCCTGTAATCCCAGCACTTAAGAAGCTTAAGCAGGAGGATCACTGTAAGTCTGAGGCCAGTCTGGGCTATACAGTTAAGTTCAAGGCCAGTGGGAACTACATGGCAAGACCCTGTCTCATTCCCCTCCCCCCCAAAGTATGACAACTTGTTCTTAGATAAGATATAAAAATGTTCTAGGTTTTTAATTCCATTCTAAGAAATTATTAATCAGAGTCTATCTAATAAAATTGATTTTAACATTCATGTAACTTTTTTTTTTCTGGTACCGGGGATTGAACTCACAACCTTACACTTACAAGGCAAGTACTTGAGCCACTGAGCTAAATACCTAGCCCTATATTCATGTAAAACAAATGAGAGGAAAATTCTCAGAAAAATCTCCAGAAGAGCTTATCAGGAAAGGGATCCATATTATCATGCAATACTTCAGCAGCACTGTATTGAATACATAAGCATTTCAACTGACCAGAAATGCTAACTCAAACAGCCCCACATGTCAAGATAGCAGGTCAAAGGGTAAAATTTTAAATCAGTGAGGAAGAGAAATAGTACCTGAATAGTATTTTTAATAACAGTATATCAAAAAAATCAAATGATTAAATAGAAGCAAAAGATAACATGAAGATGTAACTGAATAAATTTTTATGTATAAAAGCAACCATAAAAGAAATGACAGGTATGTTTTTTTTTTAATGATACTTTTTTCAAATGCATTTTCACCTTTAATGTTAACTACTAAAAAATGACCTCAGGTTCTGCTCAGGAACTTTTTTGGAAATGGGGTGATCAAGGCCTACCTTTTACTACATCTTCCCATGTCATTTAGAAAAATAAGGAGAGGCCTCATTAGTAACAAATTAGCTAAAACTCCATTTTAAATCTGGAACCTACTTGAAACTTTCAATAGCACCTAGAGAATATTTAAAAAACTGGGTTTCCAAGAATAAATCATAGATATATTGGATATGAAAAAGATTACAGTTTAGGAATAAATATTAAATGATGTTAGGGAAGAGGAGCAGGCATCATTCTAACTGAAGTAAGACAAAGAACATGACTCTTCAGGAATCACAACTAAAATGTTTCACAGAGTCAGAGGTGATTTCAGAGTTGGAAGAGGTCAAATGATATTCCCCCTTTCTGAAAGGAAGCCAAAACTCACTGTTCTAAACTACCTGGAAGATAAACATATAGGAATATCACTAGGTAAAAGATTATCATGAATTTTCCAAGAAATAGAGTTGACTGTAAACTCCTGTGCTGCTGGGAAGAGGGCAGTTAAGTTTTACTGAATATAATGCAAAACATGAATATTTATATACTATAATGCTCTAGACAAAGATTTGGAAGGCTGTACCTCACTTAGAAACAGCTGAAACCCACAATGTCATCAGCATTCCCTCTCACACTCTAGCACCATACCTCAACAAGAATATAATACTGCATTCAGGACATCTATTCAAAGAGATTATGTGGCAGCACAGGAAAAACTAGTAATAATTCAAATGACTGACTCAAAAGCCATATATCCAGGAAGACCTCACACTGATGGCAAGTCCTATTTCTTTTTCTTACAAAATATATAGCACGTGACAAGCAATACAAATATTTGCGTTCTAACTTGAAGAGCTTCAAAAGTAAATATTTAGGTTTTTCAGTGTTTCCAAGGAATATGAGATGTACCACAGGGAATGTGAGAGAATCTTAGGTGCACAATTTTAATTAGTTCTCAAGACATTTTTTAATTATTCAATTTTTTGGTCCAGGGTCAGCAAACTTTCTGTAATGGTCCAGATTTTGTAGCTCAGACAGTCTGTGGCAACTACTCAACTCTCAGTGAAGCCTGGAAACAGACAATATTTAAGGTCCTAGGCATGGAAATCTTGATTGATATAAGCCACAAGCCAACCTCTTACAACCAAGTACAATGTATGGACAATAACTGGCTTCTGATTGAAGAAATGGGTGAGGGTAGTACATAAAGAGCTGTAAAAGACATTCTTTGGGGTACTGTCTAGACCAGATGAGGAGCACCCCAACTATGGCTACCGACAGTATCTAAGGGGAGAGAGAAAAACACAGCTATTTTGGAATTTAAAAACTCAGCAGAGCAATGGTAAACCAGTGGATTTAGATATGAAAGAGAGAAGCATCAAGCATGATTTTGAGGATTCTAGATTGATTACTTCTCGAGCAAAGGAATCCAAAAGGAGACAGTGGTCTGGAGGCAAGACAGTAAGACTGGATGAGGCCGAGTTTGAGCAGCCCAGTATCAGCTGGAGACACCTAGAAGACATAAAAACTAAACTGAGGATTGTGTGTCAGGGGGTGGGGGGGTGGATAAAGAAACAAATGTTAGGGCTGGGGATTTAGCTCAGCGGCATAAGCACCTGCCTTGCTAGCAGGTAGTCGTGAGTTCGATCCCCGGTACTGATAAAAATGAAAAAGACAAAAAAAAAAACCAAACAAACAAAGAAACAAATGTCAAGGGAATTAGTGAAACTGGAGACCTGGGTGAAGAAATATTGCAAGTATAAAAGAGAAGTAGGGGAGTGTGAGGAAAACAAAAGATACCTGTACATGATGCAGAGGCAAGCAATGAAAGGGTTTCAAGAAAGGGGAGGTAATGACAGGGAAAAAAGAGATCTATTAAGCCAGAAAAGGCTGACTTTTCCCACAATTAAAATTTGTTTAAAAAAGTCATATCTGAAATTTTTTAAAAAGTCGTATCTGACATTCATAAGATCAGTATGAATAGGTGTTGGATTACAGAGGACAAACTAAGAGACTGCAAATATTGACACATTCCTTCTGAAAGAAGGGCAGGAGAGACACTTTGTAAGAGCCTCAAGGAATTTTATTTTTATTTTCCAAAGACAGTAGACTAGTGTGGTGGACTTCATAGATTATGGGAAAGGTGCAAGTTGCGAGCTAGAAACAGAACTTACAAGATAGCAGTGACATATACAGCACTGAAACTGGAAAGACCAATGCAAGAGCCGGGTAGATGGACAGATCTTTAGTTTGCAAATATCTCCGGAAACTTTAATGTTAATATTTGTGGTTACAACATTTCCAGTGATTATTCACCATTATACCTCAAGTATCCTTCAGTTTTTTCAAAGAAATATTCTAAATATAGAGAGTGTATACAGAATAACATAAAAAATGCTCAACTACCTCACCTTGAGAAACACACTATTAGTGCAGCAGAAAAAAATTTTTATACCCTTTGACTTGTATCTCATTTCTTTCTCCAGAAGGCCACCCAGTGGCACTCGCTCACGTAAATCTTTATATTTTACTATATTTGAATTCACTCTTAAATAATATAGTTGCTTCACATGCATATCTTACATTAAGTGGATCACACTGTGAACAAACTAACAAAAACTATTATTAGGATGACTAGCAGAAATGTGAACCCGAATTCTTATAAGATACTGATGAACTGTTAATATTCTTTTGATAATAGTATCTCAGCTATATAGGACGCTATATTTAGGAAAATACAAAGTTAAGTATAAAAGGTACATTCACTGTGAGGTTTACAATTTCTTGAAAATGAAGTGTGTGTGTCCATGAAAAAGACAGTATATGTGAAATCAAGATGGATATATATATATATATTTATTTGAGGGGAAGAGACAGGGTCTCATTAGTCAGTTAAACTTAAACTTGCTATATAGCCTAGGCTAGCCTAAAATTCATGGTAATCTTCCTGCCTCAGCCTCCCAAGCACTGGGATTACAGGTATGCATCACCATAGCCCGCTAGACAGGACTGTATTACACCCACTGGATCTGGATAAAGGCATAAAGATACACTGTAAGTCTTTTAAACTTTCCTGTACATATCAAGTCAGGTGATAAAAAATGAAATAGAACATTTTAAGAACAATATTAGTGGGGGCTGGAGATTTAGCTCAGCGGCATAAGCACCTGCCTTGCAAGCAGGCGGTCGTGAGTTCGATCCCTGGTACCGATAAAAATTAAAAAGACCAAAAAAAAAAAACCAGTATTAGTGCCAAACTTGTTGAATGTTTTAATTCTCCTGAAATCCTCTATGATAAGTGGGTCCCCAATTCAGGGTTCTCTAAGCAGTAGCAGGGCCTACTAGGGGGTCTAAGAAGTCAACTTTAGAGAAAAAAACTATACATCTCAAAACCATCAATTAATGTTTAATGTTTGAGGCATAACAAGTTACAGGCCAAGGGCTCAGACTGAGAATTGTCTGGTTGACCAGTGGGTGGGTCCCAATGAAAACGAAAGGGCATTTAGGAAGCACAAAGAATAAACATTTTTACCACAATTCTCACTTCTTTTCATCATGTACTTTACCTACCTGCTAGCCCCTGAAGGCACTTAGCTTGTGCTTCTAATTTATAACTATCTAATCTTACCTAGCTACTATCCTTAGTCTCTGATTATACTAAATAAGTGACAAATGCATTAAATGAGGACAAGGGAGACATAACCAACACTTCTTTCTACCATGGAAACTGCAAGTAAATTTTTGTGTATCACATTCATTAATTTAAATGCCAAATCTATCAACAATCTGTGTTAGAATAAGCTAGACACAAAGATACACAAATAGAAACAGTATGTTTCTGTAATTCTAGATTACCTGTAACTGTCAAAACAGTTTTCATGTTTCTGAGCAATTATTGCTCATGTTTATGCTGCCCAGTACACTGTTATTCACTAAGTTACTTTCCTATCTTTAAAATGAAGACAACACTATATGATCTATAAAATGAGAATTAAATGGGTTAATACAATGTGTGGGTCAGAGTTATCTCCACACAAAGGTCACTACAGCATTGTTGTGTGACTAAAAATTTTCAGGAGCCAGGACAGACCTGACTACCTTATGAACTCTTCTGTGATTCACTAACTCCTGATGGACTTTACAGTCAAAAGTTTCTATTACCATTGCTAGTGGAATACACAAAAAGTGCTTTAGTATGAAAATGCAAAATAAGTAGACATTCACTAATTACTTTTTAAAAGACAAAAGTACAAGTCTGGTTCTTCTTGGGAATGCTTTGGCTTCGTATCTACATTCTCAGGTTGCTTTGGATTTAGTTCCAGACACTGCTGTACCATCTTGACTTCCATCTTAACCTCCACCTTAATGCAGGCCACCCTTGTAAAGTTCCTTTACAAACAGGCAGGATATTTTTCCTTCTCAGGCGTCCTTGTAGACTTCCTCCTATACCCACATCTTTAAGACTTCTCATCTGAATGTCTTATTTAATAATGCTTTGGGCTTTGCTGATGAACTCTTGAGAAACAAGATTCCTATACTCCTGTTTCTATGTCAAAAACCGCTTTATTCCTTCACTTCCTAAACTTAAAAAAAAACCAACAAAAAAAAAAAAACTTAAATAAGACATTCAGATCTTTATGCCTATTGTTTTCTTATTTATCATTTTGACCATTCTCTCAGCAGAGTACTAACCAGGCCCTACTAACTAGCTTCTGAGATCAGGGGCATTTAAGATGGTGTGAATGTAGACAAACTAGTCTTTCTTGCACTGATGACTGTTTCTAACCTGATTTCAGAAATGGAATGCAAATTACTAACTGCCTATTATTTGGCCTTAGATATAACATGTAAATCAAACTTTTGTCATAAGTCTGGTGGAAGATACTCTATTACGCACCTAAACACTAGGTAGTAAGCTAGTTGCTTTAATATGTCACATAGTTTAATCCTCAAAGCAAACTTACAAGGTTGGATGTTATTTTTTACTACAGATTCAACAAAAGTCACATGAGTTAAAGTATTTGGCCAGTCTCGCACGTATATTAAGCAAGCAGGGTAGTAGTACTCAGGACAATGTAAACTTGTATTCTTTCCAATGAGGTGCTGTTCTAAAAAAATTCACATTTGTTACTTCTTCTTCTTTACTTATCATATCCAGTATGTTGCCAAAGTACTGCATGGTGGTTATAGCATATGTTTGGAGTCAGATCTTGATGTGGATCCAGAATCTGCTACTTACTAGCTATTAAACACCATGATTTATAACATACAGACTAGATCTTGGTGATAGGAGAGCACATAGGTAGAAACTGAGTAACTTTGCCTGGGACAATCAGGAAAAGCAGATATAAGAACAACTATACCTCACAGGGTTACTGAAGATTAAATACAGGAACGTACACAATTGTGTATGGAGCACATGACTCAGGGGAGTGCACAATTTTAGCTATAAGCTCTGTATCAAAATGGGGGAATCTGAATGGGCAGTGATTGAAATATTCATTTTTAAAGTATGCTGGGCAGGTAAGTCACAGGAAATGTAAGGTTCTCTGCTCAAAAACCTATACAGGACTCTCACATTAAAGCTCAGATCCTGACAAATATAAATACATTACCAAAAAGCTATGAATTTATAAATTTGCTACACTGCTCATGATGCTGAAGTGTGAGTCTTGTAATAAATACCTTCTCTCACCTGACTGGTTTTTGCTGTTCTGCACCTCTCCGTTATTTTGTGGCTGCTGGTTTGTTACAGCACTGCTTTCTGACTGGCTGTTTAACACCTTAACAGCAGATCCCAGCTTTGCTGCTATGACGGGAAAATGCTGACCCCTCTTTAGAAGCTGTTTATGTTCCTGATGGCGAAATCGTGGCGGTACTTCGCGAGGATACCGAGGCAAAGCCTGTGGCTGCTGCTGCGGCTGCTGCTGCTGCGGTGGCGGCGGTGGCTGCTGCTGCGGCTGCTGCTGCTGTGGTGGCTGCTGCTGCTGATTGCTGGCTGTGGCTCGCTTGGCATTATTATTAGTGCTGGTTGGTGTGGAAGTGCCGTTATTAGAGTTGGCAGGCTGAGGCTGGCTTACACTGGGCTTTATCTGTTCTGGCACTAATCCCAACAAAAGAAAAGGGGTGGAAAAGATTAGCCAGTAAAGTGTACCTGCATAGTAAGCCATCTAAATTCAAAAGCACTACGAAAACAATCCTAGCAGAACAAAGGGTTAATGTGGACAACGATAGCCTCATCCACAGGCTCAAGTTTTCCCCGAGACACCCTACCAGCACGCTTCTCTTCTTCAACTCACTAACTAACCCTCAAGGGCACATTGTCCCTTGGCCTTCATTGGCAGGACAGCATCTGATGCTCACCATCTCTTTACCATATTAGACTCTCATCAGATGGGAAGCACTTACATTAAAGCCATGCAACTCACCAATGACTAAAAGAACAAATGTACCAAATCTTTTTTTTGAGCCTGGTCTTGCTAAATTGCCCAGGCTGGGCTCAGACTTGTAGTCCTCCCGTCTCAGCTTCCGTGAGTACTGGGAATACAGGCTTACGCTACCATGCCCAGCTTGTGTCAAATTGATTTTGTGTCCTAAAAGATTGTTAATTCTCTGGTAACTATTCTTATTCTGCTGCATTTTAAATTATATTTGGTCCCTACTTTAAATCTTTGTAAGACAATAAAGGTAGAAGACAACCTGTTGGTTTCCTTACAAAACAGCAAAGTTAACAATGGTTTTCACTGATAAAATATAAAATCTGAACCAAATAAGACAAACTAAGAATATGGAAGACAATACAAAGATAACAATGAAATCTGCAAGACTAATCAAAATTGGAGAAATAACTTGGGTGTTAATTTAAGCAAATCTGATATAAGTATTTGTCTATTGTATGAAAAATCAAAAACTCTTAACTACAGTTTAGACTCCTTCCTAAAAGTGAAAAATAATAAGCCGATAGGCCTTAAATCAACAAAAATACACTCAATCTAGGAAACTACAGATGATGTGGCATACGAGCCAGGTTTCAATCACAGCTTGGTGCCTTCAAGTTAGTTGTATAACTGACTGTACCCGTTTTCTCCTTCGTGTAACAGAAATAAGACCCATACTTTGCAAAGATATACTGAGACTGAAGTTTTAATAATTATAAAGCACAGAACGTAAGGCTACATTAGAAGTGGCTATTCTTTTAATAACTGCCCAAATACTATCTCATACATTTGCAGCAGTTTATTATTTCTGCCTAATGTATCCTCACAGATACCACTGTTAGATAAGCAAAGTGAAATATATCCATATTACTGGTGAGGACACTCAGACAAAACTCTGTTCAAGGATTAAAAGTCCTAATTCTTTTTTTTTTTTTTTTTTTGGGTCTTTTTTTTTTTGAGACAGGGTCTCACTATGCAGTTCAGGTTGGCCTTGAGCTCACTTTGTAGCCCAAGCTTGTCTCAAACTCGCAACAATCCTCCCACCTCAGCCTCCCGGAGTGCTGGGATTACAGGAGACAGCCACCACACCCAGCTTTTAAAAATCCTAATTCTTGAAACAAACCAACCCCACCCTCCCTGCTGAGATAATTTCTGTATCTTTCTCAAGGGATGGTCTTGATCAACTGTCCATGACATGGTAACCACTCAGTAAATAGAAGCTATTATTGTGACCTAAACAAAACAAATATTAAATGTGTGTATTGTACATGATGCTGTGAATAAAGCCTAGGCCATCTGTGTTGATCAAAACAATTATCTAGCTTTTTGTTATCCAATCTCAGCTTGACAGTCTCCCTTCATGAAACAATCTAAATTCATTAACTGTCATCCTCCTTTGAATATCTGCTGATTCAGTTTACTATCATACTATTTTTTTTAATATATGATACTGGCTTCTTCTTTCAATGTGACTTCAATTTCTAAAGTAATACAGACAAATTGACATCCACGAGGAATCATCGTGAGAAATTACAAACATTCTGTTTACTGACTGGAATCCTCTTTATTCTTTCTGATGCTCATTGAGAAGCCACTTATTAATAATTTGGACCAGGGGCTGAGATTTAGCTCAGCGGCGTAAGCGCCTGCCTTACAAGCAGGCAGTCGTGAGTTCAATCCCTGGTACCGATAAAAAGGAAAAAGACAAAAAAAAAAAAAAAATCCAATAATTTGGACCAAGTGATTTTTAGGCCAAATTACTTCACCCATGAAAATTTTGTCTCCCAGACAATTTAAAGTTCCTAATATGTAGCAATGATGCACATTCCTTTGTGTGCCTGACACAGTAATAATATTAGTTATTAAAAGCACATTTAATGAGGACAACAAGGCATTAAAACATACTAAAGTGTCTCCCAAATGAAAGAAAGGCAGAGTATGTAACAATGAAATGACAGGGACCACAAAAACTATTAACTCAGCCTTGATAAGCTCAATACCAGACTGACCATGGTACTTGGCAACTGAATGCAAGCTTAAGGTGGCAAAGGTAGTCAGTCACTCCTGCAACAGTGGCTCATTTGATATTTACAATTGAAAAATTAAGCATTCTTTAAAAAACTGGGATACTAATTGTATACCCAAACAAGGTGCTATTTATATAAGAAAGAAACAAGAAAATGATCTTCCTATAGTCAAAAGATTAAAAGATAACCTATACACAAATACTGTGACCTTTATAAAGACTTTTTAAGAACTGAACACTAAATGTAAGTAATTAGGAGTTTAGAACAGTATCTGTCACCCAGGAACCTCACATCTACCACAAATTTAAACAAATTTCAATAAATGTTATTTTTCACCAATAAAATTCCACACAAAAAAACAAGGCTGAGAAAGGTACACCTTTCTAGAGTCAGAAAAATTCACTACAACAAGTAAAGAAATTGAGAACGTAATTATTGATTATAAAATTAATCTTAAGTAGAATCTCAAATAAAAAAGGGGACAGTAATAAGTAAAGGAGAAGTTAACAGTCACTATGGGGGTAAAGAGTTTTTGGAAAATATTAGGTAGCGAACAGTTCTAACTATTCCACAAGGCCTGATATAAAAATATGGTGTCGTTTACATTTCTAAAATTACTGTAGAAGACACACTGCCATTAATCCCCTTCAAAATATTGCCCCTGGCTTCAACATACCATCCTGTCACTCTACTTCCTAAAGCAGTTTTGAAAGTTTTCTTTCATGTCTTACAACATACAATTGTAAGTTAATTTGGTGGCCAAGTTCCTTTCAATGAAAAGACAGGATTCTAGACATAATACACTATCTATATACCTTATTCATGGGATCTGGCACTCTGTAACTTCTGGCTCTCCTCCAAAGTCAAAACAGTCATGGAAAATAAGTATTTTGAATCAATTTAAGACATCAAGACAGCCAATAAAAGGTATAAGAGGAGACTTTCAGAACTGTTTTCAGAAAGTGGTGACTGTAGGGTATGGTGGTGCATACCTGTAATCCCAGCAGTCAGAGGCTGAGGCAAGAGAATCACAAGTTTGAGGCCAGTCTGGGCTAATCAGTGAGTTTTAAGACCAGCTTGTACTACCCAGCAAGACATGTCTTTTTAAAAAAAGGAAAGAAGAAAAGAATGTGGTGTGAATGGTAAGTGTGTCTAAAGTGAGGGTAATTATTTTGAATGTATCTTTTATTGTAATACATATTTTTTCAATTGAAAGACTGACCATATTTTTCTATCTGCATATGTGTAGACAAAATTTTTAAGTTAATTATATCAAAAGCACTTAAGCCACTGAAGGGAGAATAGTTAATACAAAATAAGAAGTCAAGAGTAAGCCCCAAGATAAGTGTAATTACAATAAATATGAAGGTGTTAAATTTAATTGTTACAACATAAAGTCTCTTTAACTAGGTTAAGAAAAGAAAAACAAACCTAATGAAAATATTTTGTATAAAGCACTCCTTAAACAACACAGAAAAACTGGGGGAAAAAAATGTACACAGAAATATATACCACCAAAAAATGCCATGAAAATTGAAATGAAACAGCATTAATAGCACACACAAGAAAATTCAAGAAAAAAAGCAATATGAAGGATAACTAATTCAGTTACAAAGAAAACAGGAAATTTTACACACCAAACCTTACAGTATCAAAACATGTAAACCAAGTAGAGACAGAAAAAGAACAAAAAAAAGCAGAACCATATACCTTGACAGTAGACATTTTTTGACAATATATATGACAGTCATAAAAAGTTAACACACATGCATGCACATATGCACACACTTCCCATATAGCACTATTAAAAAAGTACCAATAAATTACAAAGACTATAAAAATGTAGATCAAATTTCTGGACTGGCAATACAGTGCCACTAAAACTGACAAGAGCTAGCAAGATAAAACTACCTTAAAAATACTCAGTGGAAGAGGAAATCAATACCAAATTGCATGGTTATTAAGAAAACAATAGTAAAACACTGTATGTAATGCATTTCAAGATGCAATTAAGTTGATGCTTAAAGAAAAATTCATAGCCTTATTTCCAACAAATAAGCAAAGGTATAAAGCATCCAACTCATGAAGGTGAAGAAATTAACTAAAAGAAGCAGGAAGAAAGCAATAAGGATAAACACAGAAATTGATGATTTTAAAGTGACTTCATGAATCCTAGGAATGGTTAGGTGAAAAGAAAACAAAGGAAAATGAAAGAAAAGTGGGCTGGGTTATTTAGCTCAGTGGCCTGAGCACCTGCCTGGCAAGGGCAAGGTCGTGAATTCAATCCCCAGCGCGCACGCATGCACGCACACACACACACACACACACACACACACACACACACAAACAAAAACATTAACATTTTTTTAATGAAAATTTAAAAAATGATTTTCTACTGGGCATGGTGTATACCTGTAATCTCGGTACTTTGGAGGCTTAGAGAAGACTAACACTGTGAGTCTGAACCTAGCCTGAATTATACAGTGAGACTGTGCCTCAAATAAATCAATAAATAAAAGATTTCTTTATATTCAATTCTATAACTAGTTTGAAAAGTCACTGGGGGTTAAAAAAAGCAAAACCTGCTGCATCAATACAACATCATTAAGTCAATTCCCAAACAATGTAATAAGGGGTCT